TCAAGAATGTTTTGGTTCGGGTCAAACGAAGCATCTTCAGCGCGAGACTTTCACAACTTCCAAATGTGACGCGCTACTACCAAAAAGCTTGTTCTGTTTTTAGCTTCACTGAAGAAATTTTCGCAATGTTTGTTTTATTGCGGTAGAAATCAGCCTCCACAAGCTGATATGCCAAGCGAATGTCGAAATTAAAACAAAATCGACGAACTCACGTATGCTTCTTTCGCGTTTAAAATATATAAACATTTTAAATGCATTACTGCAGAATATTTTAAATCGCCAAATCAAATCACCTCTCCTACTTCGAACAGAAATAAGTGGTAAGACAGTATCGACCCTTTGACGCTTCGGTAGCTTTTGTCTGCCTGCATTTGGTAACTTCAGGACTCACGCAAGGACCGCTTGAAGCGTGAGATCTTCCCCAAAACGCCAGCAAAGAACGGAACATCTAACGTAAAAAACATCGAGGGACTTTAGGAACATCTTTGGGCTTTCTGTAGAGCCAAGGAAAGAAAATTTACCTGAAGTACAGACAAAGTAATGACCTGTCAAATTTAACCGAAAAGCGACCGGAGTGACGAGTTTGACCAGTGTTTTAGAAAACAATCAATATCCTAAAAATATTTGAATACATCAAGGTATTTTTATAATACCTATTAAATGATGGGGAAAAGTTAGAAGGGTGTAGAGAATACAATAACGTCAGCAGAGGGTGTCAAACACGCGACCTGCGACGGCAGGCAAAAACACTAGTTTCTGCCACTGCGGCTTCTACGGCTCGTAACTCGAGAACAAAAAATCGGGAGAACATGCGGTTTGCGCCCTCCTTCATTTGAGAAATACCCCAAAAACATATATTTTTTTCGTGAAAATTAAAAATTAGACCCTTTTAGCCTGCCCGATTTGAGATGATATATATATATATATATATATATATATATATATCTGTGTGTGTGTGTGTGCGTGTGTGTGTCTAGCACTACACGTCCATTTAAGAGCTTTCAGAGGATCCACACAAAACTACGCAATAGTCAAGTGAGAACCCGACATACCTATGTAACGAATTGAAGAAAATATACGGAAGAGTGACTAAGTTTTCAGTTTAAATGCAATCACCACATTTAAAAAAAAAAAAAGTTACCTGAAAAAATGATTAGATATCTTTTAGTGGTAACATCACAAGTTGCGTATTTTGGTTATTGAGATAATTTAGCGCGCTGGAAGTTTGTATGATAGCATCTGTTCACCTTTGTAAAAGATCATGTCATGCGTTGCAAAGGGATTTGCAACTTTGAAGTTGCGGAAAAAAGAAACTCGCTGAAGAAACCACCCCTTCTTGTTCGCTGGTTCGTCCACCCGTAGACGGGTAGGGAAAAGTAGGGATTGTCTAGTGTTGCCAGTGAAGAGTCGCCTGCTAGAATTTACACGAAAGGCGTAATCTAAAAATCCAGTAACTGCAGAGAAAACTTTGACTGGTTAAAGAATTTGGTCAGCAGTTCAGAAAGAGATATTGCTTCGGTCTCCAATTTTCAGTCAAATCAATCAAAAATTATTAAAAAAAACAAAAACAAAAAAAAAAAAAAAACGAAATGTCGATCGGAGTTGTGGGCGTGACATTTGCGTCGAAGCTAGTCTCGAAAACGTCCCATAAACTGGTCTTTAATAAGTATACCATGCATATCATTGTACTCCTGCAGCAAAGCTTATTTCGTATTTATCTTTAATTTGTCCCATATTAAAATTATGCATAAAAAAAGGAAAGCTGTCTGATTCAATATAAATTTTAATTCATATGGTGTTGCCTAAGTTGTCGCAATGTAAAAAAAATGAAGAGCAGACAATGTACGCACAGTTTTATGTATGATAAAATCTGTTTGAAGTGTCACAACTGTCTCGACATACATTTTTGTTGTTGGCTCGTACGGTTAGCGGCTGGCTGGATTGTCTTCCATAATGACGGGCGTTTGTTCCGTTCGCTCTTTGCCTGTGCATTAGAAGAGCTTTCATTCTTAATTGTGTTTTCTTTTCCACTTTTATGCATGTGCACATTTTGTTTCTGTTGTGAGTTTCCATTTGTGTTGTCATGTTTGCCGCTACAGTCTAAATGAAAAAAGTATGTGAGTTCACTTTCCTGCAGCATACGGTGAAGAACGGAAAGTGAATAACAATTTTTAAAATACGATTATATCTAAAAAAAATGCAATATGCGCAGGAACAATGAGCAAATCAAACGTCTTCACGTCGCTTTTTTTTTTTTTTAGATCTAATCGTATGCTGGGCTTGGTGATTCGCTGGGAATTTCCCGTTCGTCGCCGTGATTGGCTATCTCCGAGTTCTGCAGGAAAACAAACTCACATACTTTTTTTGTGCGTGTGATATATACCTTGGCTCTCGAAAGTTGATCGGTAGTATATTTAAAATAAATAAAGCATTCAACTAATAAGACTACTTTGACGACACAAGCCAATACGCGATGCCAAGGCGTGAGCGACTTCGTTCGCACAGAAATGACGCACTTGCAAACGCCGAAAACTCGAGTGCAAACCAACGCACAACAACATCAGCCAACATAGGGTCTTTACAAATATACGCTTGGATGGTTCGAATGTGGTTCCAACTTCGAAACCAGTCAAAAATGGAAGCCTTTTTTTTTTTTTAGTATTATTATTTTGCTTGTGCTTCGCGCCGGTCCTTGACCTCTGCCGGCAGTGGCCAACACCACCTGGACAGAAGGCCTCCACACGCGTCATCATAGTCAGATCGATCGAGGCGAGAGATTGGGCACGAGTGCTGCGTCAGTGTTCGGCTGCGGCTCGTGGCCAATCAGCGCGTCGAAGGTCGGGCTCGGGTCCAATAGCCGACCGAGCGCGATCCGACTGTGATGACGTCTCATAGAGGAAGAGGAAACCATGCGGAGGCCTTCTGTCTAGGTGGTGTTGCAGTGGCGGACGCTGGGCGAACAAAATCTCGCTCGCCCAGATTGGCGGTGAAGAGCACGAGGCCCGAGCGCCCAATCTGCATGTGCAGCTGCAAGAATGCATCTCGTTTGTTCCGGAAAACTTCTGCGCCATCTATGAGGAAAAGGGTATAAATAAATCGCGGGTGAATCTCCCTCAACATAGCCTGCCACGCTGAACAAGCAAGGTGTTGAGACAGGCTTAGAACCAGTGTTGTACACGTTCCTCAAAACAAGGAACGAAAGTTCGATCATTATTATAACGCGTTCCTGTTACATGTTTCATTTGTGAAAAAAAAAAAAAAAAACCTCGTTCCCGTTACAGCTAAAAAAAAAAAAAAAGAACGCATCGTTACATGTACGTTACATCTGTATTTTGCTGATTACCATATTTAGTTAGATCGAGTAAAGATTTTTTCATCTACCCATCAAATGCCTACATACGAATTTGAATGCCGTGATGGAAGGGCACCAGGAGGAGAAAACAAGCGGAAGCAGGGTTTCATTTGTTGATATATTCACCCATAAAAATCTCAGCTCCTAACCGTATTCATGTTTGTGGTGGGTGATTCAGACGAGCCAAATGTACTGTTAACCCACATTGCACGAGCGTTTTACAACAACCTCACACGTTTCAATCTAACAAAGGTCCCTGTTAGAACTTAACAATAGTTGCTTCTCGGGGTTGCTGTCCGCAAGACGAACAAGTGAAGAAGAGGGTAGGACTTCTGGAAGGTCAGTCTAGAAAACTACGAGTCTTTCTTCGTGAAGGTTGGATTCGTTGTTTAGCTTGAAGGTGGGAGAAAAGGAATAAAGGTTCATTTTTGTGTGTCTTTGAAGTGACCAATACAAGGGCGTGTTCGATGTCCGGTAGCCTGTTCTTTTGTTGTAACTGTAGGCAGACACGTGGCCAGGATTTTGATTCGGGAAAGAGGGGGGCGGGGGGGGGGGGGGGGGGGGGGGGGGGTGCCCATGACGAAATGTTGTACGAGGGGAAAAAAAGAGAGGAGGCCCCAGCAACATGGAGGATTTCGGGGGGAGGGGGGAAGCCCGGGACCCATTACCCCCCCCCCCCTCCCATCCCCCCTTGGCTGCGTGCCTGACTGTAGGCCTGTTCGAAGAAGTTCTGTGATGGCTGTAGTCGGCTATGGATTTCTGGGTGTAAAAGAGATCGTGGAAGCAAAAAAAAAAAAAAAAAAAAAAAGTAGCCGAGTTTGAAATCTCTCTCTTTCTGTGTCTTTTCCTAAAAGTTTTGCTTTTTGTACCGCAGTCTCGGGCACTGAAAAAAAAAAAAAAAGAATCAATGTTTATTAGCTTTTTTTTTTGCACCCGACTGTTACCAAGCGAGGACCATACAAAATAAACCAGATAAGTAACCAAAACCTTAACGAGATCCTGCTCTTCGTAAAGATATTGTTTTTATACTTTTAGAATTTCCCTCTTAGAAATAAAATAAAAATTACCCCACCGGACGAAAAGAAAAGGAACGCCGTTCCTTTTTCCGTTCCCTTAAAATTGTAACGAGCTCCCCGTTCCAGTTCCACCGATGCAGGATGGAACGGCGGCGTTCCTTCGTTCCCTCTAAAAGGAACACGATCCAGGAACGCCGTTCCGTACAACACTGCTCAGGACCTTGCTTCGTGTAGTGCTCGTTGAACCAGCGATGCGTCTGTCTTTCGCACAATGTCTTTCGCCAGGTGACCACTCACCCGCCCAGACCCTCGCGGAGAGCCAGGTCACGTGATGAGAGGGAGGCGTTTGATTGGTCCGGCGAGCGCGTACACCGCTCACCGCACTCTCAGCTTAGAAGTGGAATGCCGGAGAGCTCGAAAGAGAGAGAGAGATAGAGAGAGAGCTGCGCTATCTATCATGCCCCTTCATAAAACGCGAAATATAAAATAAATGTTCCCCGTAGCTCGTCCCGAAGCGCCAGTTGCTGTCTGTTATTGCGTCCCAGCGAGTCAGAACTACAGCAGTAGTCCTTGAGCCTACGTCATAAAACGTGTGCACATTGAAAGAGCCGGGCACGGAGAGATCACTAAATTTCCCTCGCAACGTTTCCGACGGGACTGAATTGTCGCTCCCTAGCTTGGAGAAATTGCGAAGATGACCGGGACGTGCTTTGTCACCGATCTGACCATGCTGAAGCATTGGAACGTCATACAAGGGTGAGGCATTCAGCGGTGAACTTGACTCGCTGGCTTTTCGTGAAAGTTCCCCTACAATTCAATGTCGCTCTGCTGCAGTGTATACTGACAGGATTGAGAACGGCGGGGGGTGTCCCTTTCAGCTTCCCGGCTTCCAGCACATCCTCGCTGCTTTCCGTCGTGCCTTGAGTGGGCCTGCACGCTCGAAGCTTTCGAGACGCCGATACGGTGTTGGGGGGGCGAAGCTCACGCTGGAGGCGGGATGACTGAAGAAAAATTTTGGTTTGGGGCAGTGTTGCCATAGACGGCGGTACAGTAATAGTAGATTTCAGCACGCAAAAACAAAATTGCTAGATCCCTCGATATCGACGGCAATAATTTATCGAAGGTAATTAATTTATTACTTTATCTCTTCGTAAAATGGTCTTGTGTCGGTGTTGCTCTAAAGATGTAAAAGCGCATAAATGAAAAAAAAAAAGGTATCTATGTAAACTGCGTTAGCGTCGATAAGTGGGCTAGTTGGTATTCGTGAATCATAATGTAAAGACATCGCAAAAAAAAAACAAAAAAAAAAAAAAAAGAAAACACGAACGGAACAGGAGAAACACGCAAATAGGACGAACACTGACTCGCAGCTAAAGTATTTATTAGCCTCAAGTAATAAAAACTTCACTTGCGAGCAGTGGCGTCATTAGGGTCAGCGTGTTTCTCAGGAAACAAAACCGACCGACAACGTGGATTCCGATCATTTTTATCGTCAAGAAAAATAGTATTCCTGAAACATCCACCATTTTGTCCTACACGAGAACGACATGGGTACTTTCATACTCTAAACAAAGTCTCTCTCTCTCTCTCTCTCTCTGGAGATGGCTACTCAACAAAACTTGAATTAGAAAAACCCTAACATTTCTGATTACAAAACTAAGTACTTTTGCTTCTGTTTTTACCAACGCCAGAACTATAGTGGAAGTCTCAAAAACCCTTCAAAATTCAACGAAGGGGGAAGGGGGGGGGGGGGGGGGGCGAGATCCCTTTGACTTAAAGCTCTGGTTATAGTACACGTTGACATCAACGCTGGCACCCTCATTATGGTTTACGCTGGCTGGAAACTTAATTACGAGTCTGCCCAGCGTGTTATGTACAAAACACACAAAAACGCGCACACGCGCAAGGAAGCATTCACGCAAGCGCGCACATATATACGCACAAACCGCACACGCAGCACGCACACACACGCACAACACACGCGCGCACGCTCGCACACACAGGATAAGTTTTTTTTCTTCTTTTCTTTGCTGTTTTGATTTGTAAAATATCGAGAAATTCCCCACTCCCTAAAGATAGCCCACCCCAATTTTTGGCTTAATTTGCTATATATTTTTAAACACTGAAAGATAGCCCACTCCTAGTAATAGTAGTGTTAGGTTCAATGATGGCCTCGGCGTAAATGCGGCTAGTTAGCTATGGCGGGTATAAGCGAGTGTTACTGACTGGGAAGTACACTCATCATTGCTTCGTTGCCCCTCGCCACAATAACAAGCTTGGAAGGGACGCAACCTAAAAATAGCATTTTTTTTACTTTTCTTGATTGTGCACCGAAAGTTAGCCCACCCCATATTTTTCACCCGATTCGCTCTTGATGTTAGGTGGGATTCCTCTCGGGATTTTATGTTACATTAATTTATAATGTTGCGCAGTTGGAACCCCGAAAAGCCCCAAAGGCTCGAGGTCACCCACCGTCTTTTGACGTCCAGAGGCCTCGTGTATCGAGCCCTTGTTCTAAAGGTACGTCCACTACGTCCACTGTGAAATTCGTGGAAAAGTAAATACATGCACACCGATAGAGACTGGGAGACAGGATGTGATGAGAGTGAGCGGGGATGTCCAAACATCGAGCTCTAGTCAATGTTGGAACGGCGAACGCCGGCGTCCTAAGTTTAGCGTTCGCGTTCGAACAGCGAATAGAGATTAAAGGCCGCTAGCTTGGCGTCTACACCCGCTAATCATTTCAACCAAGGCTCGGTGTTCCGACGTCCTCGCGCGCGTTACCTTGTAACGGCTTTGTACGCTAGCGCCACCTATCCATAGCCCTGGAGCACTATTTTTGTCCGTATCATCCTTTCACCGTGGGCCTGATAATAATTATGTCAATGTTACAATCATGGAGGGAGGAAGCTTGTGGGAGCGACATGACACCACCAGAGGTGAAGCCGGTGAGGAAGTTCCGGCTTGGACCGCGACCTCTACTTCCGGTTTTACCTGGGATTTTTTCGTTTGGCTGGCTTGAGTCTGTCTGGTGCCTTCTCTTCTCCCTACCTCCATGGTTATGATCAACTATTTATTATAGGTGGTAAATAGATTTAATCTCCTAAATACACAAAAAAAAATCCTTCAGAATTATACGCAAATCGGAAGTGTTCCAGGGATACCCGATAGATGGCGCCAAGTGTGCAGTGTGTTAAGCGCTGAATGCCTCAAAATTATTCAAATATGTAATGGGATAGATCAATGTGAACGAATGCGGTACTTTGTATGTTTTAAGGTTTGTGGTCGACATAACCATGTACGCTAGAGGTTGAACTGGCGCTAGCGTCTACGCGACTTCTGGAAAAAAAAAAAAAAACGAGACTGGGACAATAAGGGACGAACAAACACAAAGTCTCAATTTGCGACTTCCGTGGGGCAAATTGAAGCAGACAGCAACCAGTCTGCTTTTGTGGTGCTCCGGGGCATTCCTATGGGAAAACACGCGCGCATTTTGTCTCTTCGCCGAAAAATAACATGGAGCACTTTTATTATTTGGGTCGTACCGACTAGTATGTACCTTTCTTAACACTGTAAAATTGTAATTGGTTTAGTGAGCACATTTTTTTTCTTCATCGGTGAACGATGTATAACTTCGCACTAGTTCAGGCCCAAACATGTGTTTCACAGCAAGTGTGTAAAAACAAGGGACGATTCTAAGCAAAATAACAAGCGAAAGGAATATAGAGTGTAATCAAGGTTCACCAGCATCCCGGTGACGCTTATGTATTGCTAATATGCCGGCCCTGTCGCTATATAAAAATGACCCCGTCGTGCATCATTACGTGCGGTTGAAAACGTTCAAAACGCGAAGAAAGTACGTAGGCTATGAAAGGGTGCCTCGTCTTATTTTCTCTGCCGGGCAGCTTTTATTGAGCACTTGTTATCAAAGATTTTAAGCGTGCGAATGATGTTTTGAACGTAGAACAAGCATCTTCGCAAAGCAGAAAGAATAAATCAGTACTTATTGAAAATCGGACTGTGTTACGTGCCCTTCAATTAATTTTAATCGTACAGACACAGGGAGTTACTGATCCAGTGTTACTCCGTAGTTCTTGCCGTCTCTCTCGGTTTTCCAGATGTCCTTCGTTCTGTGGCGTACCAACTTGTTTTTGAGTGGGGGGGCAAACCAGACCCCTTCCCGCCCCCCCCCCCCCCCCCCCCCCCCCCCCTAGGGCCGGTGGGCAGTGCCCTTGGTATCCCTTGGGCGCCGCCGGCTAGTGTTTGCCCTGCCCAGTGGCGGCTGTTTAAGCGGGGGGGGGGGGGGGGGGGGGGGGAGGCAAAACACATGCCTGCCCCCCATACTCTGAGGACTGGGGGGCGCCTTGCCCCCCCCCCCCCCCCCCCCCCCGGTTGGTACGCCGATGCCTTCGTTCGTTTGGCACGTATATCCCCCATGCTGAAACGCGCCGACGCCGTGTTCGCGCTAACAGTGTCCGACAGTGCACGAAAAATACATGTACAAAGCCGTTTTGGCGCCGTTTTTAATGCAATGAATTTGAAAGAAAAACGCCGTAATCGACTGATTTTTTCGTCTGCGAGACTCGGAAATCTTCCAATCTACCTAGTACGTTCGAATTATTCTGTATAAATTTGCTCTTATAATCAAGCGCAGGGAGAAGATTCACTCTTTTTTTCCCCATAGAAATGCCTAACCGGAATTCAATTTTCGACTGGTTGCTGTCTGCTTGAAATAACGACAGCACACTAGCGCGAGTTGAACCTCTAGCTTACATCGTAATAACTCTATGGACATAACATATGGTAGCACTACTACTACCACATGTGTGTTCTAGGAAATATACTTTTTTTTATATATATCAATGGAGCTAGTTTTTTTTTTTATTGTCTTCTGTATTGTAAGGACGCAGTGTGTGCTGGTAAAACACGTATTCCAACGGTAACATAACCACTGGTACTGCAGCTGGAACGCATAAAGCAGGGGGAAAATGTAACGTTACGTTTTATTTTGACGCGTTAAAAAAGGTGGAGGTATCGGGGATCGTGCGGAAAGCCAGGATAGTGTTGATAATAAGCAGGACCCAGTGTACTTGGTAACTCACAAAATGCATGGCTAAGTGTAAAAAAAAGAAGCGTCTAAGCTTTCTACCGGTAAAACGATCATGCAGCGAATTTTGTTTTTGTACTTCGGATATATATTGTTTAGAATGAACGTTCGCGTCCATACGGTATGATCATGTATACATTTTAGTTAAAATAAAAATAAGATTGTTCGCACTCGCACAGCCTTCCCAGTTATTCCATGCTAAGGTGAGATTATGTCTCTTTGCGCTAGACGATTACCTTTATTAGTTTCAGACAAATTATCTGGTCAGACGGATTATCCGTTTAGGAAGAAAAGAAATCTTATCTGGCAGGTTATTTGAAGCGTACGCCACTCACCGGAAGCTCACGGTGACGCAACTATGACGTAACCTCATGGAGGAGAAAAACATAATCAGGTATCCCAGAACCATTTGACTTTTTTTTTTTTTTTTCACAAATCTCGGGCAGCGAATCTATAACCACTTAACATTACAATAAACAAACACAAAAATAGTGGTGTACTGGGATTCGAATTCACGCTTTTTTGTGACTATTATTGTTTTTTGTGTCGTTGCAGCCGCGCTTCGCAACGGACGATGAAATCGCTTTGGTTCACACGTGAGAAACATTTCGTGTTTACTAAATTATGCTCGCGGTAGACCATTCGGCGAGAGCCTAAATTAAAGCCGCCAAATAAACTACGCCTCAGCACTGATCTTTGTGCACAATAGCTGGATCGCGCATCCCCTCTTCGCGAATGCGGCTGAAGGACGGCCATCTTGCATGGGACACGGAAAATTAACCTTTTCGAGCATTGAGGAGGCTGCAGGCGACAGCGTCCTGAAGACGCGTTTTCTGCGGTCGGAGGGTACTTGTCAAGAATCGACGCCGTGGCAAAATTTTGAACGTGCATGTGTCGCGCGTAGAGGTGTTCTGGATCAACCAGCTGTCCCGACGCTCTGGATCGCCCAGTTGTTCCGACGAGTTGCTATCAATAAAGGGAGAAAAACAACAGTGGTCGTTATCATGTACTATAAACCATGGCTGTGTTCCAATCTACTGGAATGGATCACGTTACAGCACAAATAGAGAGAGGCTGTGGAGGAAGATAGGTTTTCGAACGCAAAACGTATAAAACGGCGTGCAATCTGCCGCCGTCGCCGTACAACCCACTTCCGTCGCCACTTGATCAAGCTCGTTTCTGGACCGCGAGTGCCACAAGGTACAAGTACAGCTCGTAAGAGGAAAGTCAAACGCTGCTCCAGAGGCACATACGGCTTCACGCACGTTGCACTCGCGAAAAAATACCACACGACGTCGATTCTTGATCGCTATCCAAGCGTGCGAAGTCACAGAGACGCAGCACTTCTGCGTGCCAAGGAAGCTTTTGATCACGCCGCGAAACTGGCGAGACTTGCGTTTGGCGAGCTGCGCCATTTTCCCGCGGTTCTGCGCTTTCGTAAAAATTTCCTCGCGTTCACAAAAGCAGTTTTCACCGTTTATGCGAGGTTTTCCCAAACCTCTTTGGCGAACGACGACGAACGAGCAAAAAACGTGTCTTGAGCACACTGCCGCCCAGCCTCCGCAGTGCTCCCAAAGCACGATTCTCCGTGTCCCTAGATGGCCGTCCGGTGGCCGCACTTGCGCGGCAGCATAGAGGGAGGAAGCTTCTGGAGTCTACATGACGCCACCAGGGGTGAAGCCAGAAGTAGGGGACACAACGATGACCAAAACCAAGAGACGCTATTGGACGAAAAGGAGAGCTCTCGCCTTTTCGTCCAATAGCGTCTCTTGGTTTTGGTCATTGTTGGGGGGGGGGGGGGGGGGGGGGAAGGGGGAGTCCCTTTACACTTTGCAGACAACCCTCCCGAACAGCGTTCGTTACTGAAAAAAAAAAAAAAAAGACAAAAAAGTTTTAAGTGTTGTATATAATGGGTGTCCCCGAAAAAAAATTAGAGGGTATTTTTTTCTACTGAAAAAATAAACTACGCGTCTCCAAACGCTCATTTTCCGCCCAAAGGTAGCGCTAGTGTTCCGAACCATATGGCAAAGCTTTAGCCCGACACGCTATCTTATTTCAAAGTTTTAAGCGATTTTTCGAAAATTTCAATGGGAAAATGGGAACCATTTTTGTCCGTTTTCGGTTTCTGGCGCCATAGAGCTCCATGTTTTCGAGAGCTCTGTCGACCCTCATTTTCCCATCAAAAACTAAAAAAAAAAGAAAAAACCTATAATTTTTTTTTAATCAGATATCAGGTCGAGCTGAAACCTTGGCATCCGATTCGGATCTCTAGCGCCACCTTTGGGCGGAGAATGAACGCAAGGCGACGCGTAATTCTTTGTTTGTTTGTTTCTGGTTTTCTTTTTTTTTTTACGGTTAAAAACTTGCTGTAAATTTTTTGGCCGGATATATACATATATCTATATACATTTTACAGAGATGAACACATCGCCAGAATTCGAGCAACGGATGGGTTGCCGCTAGAAGAAGTCACCGTGGCCAACTATCGCATAAGCAAGATAAGCCTCATTGGACCGGTGAGTCTAGTATATTCTCCGGAACCCTTTAATAAGTTAATAGTAACGCTTAGCTGGCAGTGAATGGCAGTGCTCAGTAAATAGTTATACAGAGTTAAAGGTGAAAGGTCAATCGTTCGCTGAATCAATCATGTACACTGCACAGGGAAGTCCCCAATGACTGGCGCTTTTGACACGTTGATTGGTCCCATTAGCTCGTCGCGTCGGCTGCTTTCGGACTTCATTACGTTATGCGGAGAGCAAGTCGTCTGCTTCGTGTGCAGGAGTTGCAGTGACGTCAGAACGACGTCGAGTTCTGATTGGCTCTGATTGAAGAAGAGTGGATAGACCTCGAGGAAGCTTGCTTTGAGGTGTACCCACTATAGACCTTTTTCACAAGGGCGCCGCCATCTTGAATTGTCGTCACTTCCAGTATGGGCGAAAACATTACTTTGCCGTCGCCGCGCCGATAGAACACATTTAGGATATAAGCCTAACCGTCACACATTTTCGTTTTGGCTTCGCTCTATTTTTTTTATTGGTTACAGGTTGAAACGTTTTACTATTTTGTCGTCGCCCATACTGGAAGCAACGACAATTCAAGATGGCGGCGCCCTTGTGGAAAAGGTCTATACTTCCAGTCAGGGAGCTCGGCGTTGTGATGTCCCCGAAACCCCTGCGAAAGAAGGAGACGGACTGGCGTACCGCGTAGATTTTTATAAATATGTATGTGTATATCTCAGTAGGCGCCTTATTTCTATCAAACCTCCCTCTACTTCACCTATATATAATCGAAAATATGCAGATGAATTAACCCTTCTTGATCGAATGAATCGTTCAAGTACGGTTCATTTATCTGCATATTTTCGATTGGACGTGTTTCAGAGAACACAGGCCAAATCGCTCCTGCGAAAACTTCTCATCGCAACAACAAAAAGGCTTGTGGCGTTTTTTTCCTGGTCCAGGGGCCCATTTAGGAAAATTATTAAGGTCCGAGATAATTAAGTTGTTAATTATTTTTTCGTAATTACGTTTTTTAATATTGTGTTTAAGGACATGGTTTAAATTAGAAAATTGCTCAGCATCATCAAAAAACAATAAATCAATAAATTGCAGAACGATAGAAGGCACGCGAAGCGCACAAATTCGACCGATTTTTAAGTTTCGGTTTGCTATCGGAGCGCATCTCAGCCCCGGCGGCACCGCGCCCCTTGGAGAGATTGTGCAACCAGACTCTGCTGCGTCGCGCGATGACAGCGCAGCAGAGGTTAGGTGCACTATCTCTCCACGGGACGCGGTGCCGCCGGGGCTGAGATGCGCTCCGACAACAAACCGAAACTTAAAAAATCGGTTGAATTTGTGCGGTTTTTCAGAAAGCCGTAAAATGCTTCGCGTGCCTTCTATCGTTCTGCAATTTATTGATTTATTGTTTTTTGATGATGCTGAGCAATTTTCTAATTTAAACCATGTCCTTAAACACAATATAAAAAAGTTAATTACGAAAAAATAATTAACAACTTAATTATCTCGGACTTTAACAATTTTCCTAAAAAGGAGCAAAGCATCCGGCGCCGTGCAAGAAAGCCACATTTACGGTCGCACCGCCGACATTTCTCTTGCCCCGGCGTACGTTCCCCTGCTTTCCGCCTCCTTTTCCTCCTCTCCTGTTTTCCATGCGCGGCGGCGCGCGCGGCGCCGCTATTCGCCAAATTTAGTCACGTAACGAGCAAAGCATCCAGGGCGTGCGGGAAAGCCGGCGCTACGGCCACCCGCCGAGGCTGAATGCGCAACTCTGCTACCGTAGGTAGCTATATACAAGAACTCTATTGTTGCTTATCCAGTAGCGCCATCCGTGTGCCTACTCGTAGTCATTAGACGTAAGAGTGAACTCGTATGCGTCCTTTTTAGTACAAAAACTTCGAAAAAGAAAGAAAGGCTGCACGAATCGCCCGAGTTTAATTTTCTGTTTCTTTATTCGCGCCGCGGGTTGAACGCGTAGAGGGCAGAGATAAAGGCGCGATGCCTAACGAAGTTCAACAGCTTAATACATAATAACAATTTACAAAAACATTACCCGACAATTCTACGAAATAAATCAAAACAAGACAAGAAAGTAAACAGCAGCACATTCATTTAAAAAAATATATACAAACATGAACGTCAGCGTGTAATCTATAATATGTATTTTTAAAGCTCTTTTGCGCATTCTTTTTCGTTCTATGCGTGTATGTTTTATTCTTCACCTTTAATCTTACCTAACAAATTTTCCACTATGCTTGTTGTTTTTTCTCATTTCTTTTTTCAAGGACACCAACAAATGTGCACGATTATCCACGGGATGCCTTCTCCAGGTCGTCGACGCCGTCCTCACGGGAAAAGTGAGCAATCTTCAGGATTCTTTAACCCCAAAAGAGACGATAGTACCCGACTTACTGCAAGAAAGTTATTACCTCTGCGGATACCTCCTGAAAAAAATAAAGTTTTAATATATGACGAGACCGGTTCTAACGAAGTCGGTTATAACGAAATAGCGGCTACAGCGAAGCGATCACGATTTCCCATGTTCTTTTGCACTTCGTTATAACCGAAATCGGTTATAACGAAATAGTGGATATAACGAACTAATTTCCGATTCCTGTTGACTTGGTTATAACCGGTCTTGGCATATCGACAGAAAATGCAAACCGAAAAAAAGTATATACATATATATATATATATAGACCAACTCAACTCTCTGACGACACGCCGCTGCGGTGGCACTGCTGTCGGCACTGGGCATGCGCAGGTGATTCGCCTAGGCCGAATCTAGTTTCTGCGCGCGCGCAGTGCCCTCGCCTGGTGGGCAAACGCGGGCTTGTTTGTAAACAATGTGTTGGTCGATATCGTGAGAACTACTAACTACGCAGAGAGCGGAAGAGAAATGCTCTCTCTCCCTCCCTCTTTCTTTCTTTGACGTCATACCGTATCTGCTTGCACAACAGCACTTAGAATAACCAGGGCTTGCGAACGTCCCCATCTTCCTCCATAGGACGTCATCACAGTCGGGGAGCGCCAACCCAGCAATCGGACCCGAGTCCGAAGCTGTGTACAATCTGTGCCTTCGCTCTATCTCACTATGATGACGTCAAAGCTATTGTACACAGGCCTTGATTGCTCTGCGGTGTTGACTTGCGTGGCTATGCGGAGCGCAAGTTCGTCTGCTTCTTGCGTTGGAGTTGCGGGGACGTGAGAACGCCGAGCTTTGATTGGCTCTGACTAGAAGAATAGTGGGTAGACCTCAACGCTAGCTGCCTCGAAATCTAACCACTATCTTTCCAATCGGAGCCAATCGGAGTCCTGATTGGCTCCGATTGTGACGTCACCGCAACCTCTGCGCATGAAGCAGACGAACTTGCGTTCCGCATAGTCACTGACAGCCCCTGAATCCCGTGCATCTCATTACCGCTCCGCGGCCAATGGGATTTCGGCGTCAGCCGACGAGAACGTCGAAGGGCCAATTACGAAACGAGAGGCGTGAACGTAGTAAGCCACACCTTGACTATACGGAGCGCAAGTTCGTCTGCTTCTTGCACAGGGGAATTGCGATGATGTCAGAATGCCAAATTCTTATTAGCTGATTAAAAAAAAATGGTGGGTAGACCTTGAGGCATCTAGCATTGATGTCTACCCACTATCATTCCAATCAAAGCCAATGAGAACTAAAAATTTCAAATTTGGGGGTTTTACGAGCCAGACCAACGACGGGCGTCTGGCACGCCCCAGCGGAGGACTGAGGATTAATTTAGAACACCTGGGGATCTTTTGACGTGCAGCCGAAACCTCGGTTACACGGCGCCTTCTCCGCAATAAGCCTTCGTCAGATTGCGGGCACCTCGGCCGGGTTTCGAACCCGCCACATTGGGATCCGTAGGCCAATGAGAACTCGGCGTCCTTCTGACGTCACGGCAACCGCCACGCAAGAAGCAACGACTCAGCTCTCCGCATATACATGGCACACGCTCGGACGCTTCATCGATCCTCTCAAGAACCCGTTTCTTGCTAATGCACAACGTCTATCTGCTGTGGGAATAGGCGGGCTCGTCTGCAAATTTAAACGGAATTCGCTGTTTCTGACAAGAGCCGTCGCGCACGCAACGGGCTCAAGGGTGAACAACCTCGACCGACGCCAACTCGATAACGAGGTCGTGATGCTGAATTTTCGACATCATCTAATAAAGGCTGGCAGATGATGGGCGCGGATTCGGACCCTGAGTCAGTGTTCGATTAAAACTCGCGTTCAATTAGTGAGGAGACAGACAAGAAACCGAACGCTGGCGTGTTACGCCACAATCCGTGCAGCCTTTTTGAGTTGCGTTGCGAATTTAGCACTACGCTTTGCTATCTAGTAGTAGGAAGTGTTACTGGTGTTGACACGATGTGATGGCGTGTATGTGTCTATATATAGTTCTGCGCCTATCCACCAGAACGTCTTCTCATCCGCTGTCGGGCGGGCTTTCGTTTATTGGGGTCGTAAAATGATATGAGCGTCTTATAACTAAGTCCAGGGATCGCAGCGCGTTCACCCGAACGGACGCACTATCTTAATTTATTATTCGTCCGTTTCGCCTTCTACGTTTCTGCACTTCAACGCCGGAATAACGTCACTCAGAACGGAACATTCGTCAAGATAAAATTCGGCGTGTACATCGATCAACTTTTTTTCCGGTAGATATTGAAAACCGTAATTTCTAGATTTCATAAAGAAATTAGCCTCTAAATACCAAAGACAAAAACAAAACGAAGACTATCGTGCCGAACTGATTCTTATTTATCGTTGGATAACTAGCATATCAGTAATTAAGTCTATTGCGTCCAAAGTATCGATGCATATAATGCAGATTAGAAATATCAAGTAACGTCGCGGCAATGTGGAATTTTAATTTACATCCGACCTACCATGCAATCAATTGGTTTCATACAGAAATTGGATATATATATCACCTCTCTCTGCCTCTCTCTCCCATGCACAAATCAACAGTAATGCATACAACTATCAAAAATAAAATACAACCTCAAGTTGTAATAAACAACCCCTGACTCACGAAAACGTTGATATTTCACGTCCTTAATATTGCTGAGGTAAAGCAAAGTGTAATCCAAACCAAGGCAGGCCGTTTTGTACAAACGCGTGACGTCAAAGATTCCGGAAGTCACGTGGTTTGCTTCTCTCCTCCTAACTGCGCATTAAAAGTTTTATTTAAATCGGAATTTTCGGTATTTCCGTGCTCATGATAATTGAGCAATGAATTTTGTTATTTTTATTAATGAGGATGTGCCACGGTCGGGTATTTCCTTTTCTTGGCAGTCCTGAGCACAGCAGGTTCCCTCCCGACTAGCAGTTTTCGTGCGAAAAAAATTTAAATTTAAATTTTTGTATTTTTTTGTCGTGTTTTTATGAGAATGTAGGCCTGCATACCTTATATAGTCGCGTGTATAAGTTAAGAATGCGCCAAATAAACAACTTCACGTTGCAGCCCCGGAATAGAATCACTCCACGGACCAACCAGGAAGGGTCATAATCTAAACCGTGAGACAAGGAGATCTAAAAGAAACGGACGAGACGACGCAAAATCTCAAGCTCAGCTGAGTTTATTCGGAAGATACGGTCAATTTATAGCCATCCACACACTGACAGGAAAGACAAAAGTCAAAAAGACATGCCGCCGCGAAGTTGGCGGAACTGAGCGGCTGACCTTGTTGTCTTCTATCTTTTCTGTCTGTGTGGATGATTATACATTCCTGTTTTCTTGCAAATAAACTCAGCTGCGTTTGAGATTTTTCGTCATCTTGTTCGTTTCTTTCAGCATTAACGGCCCCATGGAGCGAACCGGCGTTGTCAGCTTTTGAAGCCGCAAAAAACGGCACTTAAATTCCCCTGTCCCATGAAGCGAAGCCTGTAGTCTGTAGCAGCGAATTGATGGGTAAGCTCTTATCGGTTGGCGCGCGGCATAGTTCCGAGAAACGCCACCCCATACTTCATGGCGCTGCGGCCCCCGCCGAGAGGAGCAGAAACCTTTTGCGGCGCCGAGGGGGTCAGAAGCGGCCGCGGCGCGAAGAACTACATTCATGCTTTCGCACTTACAACTCATAAGAAGTGCTTAGGTGTCCTCGAAATTTCTCCTTGTCTCGGGGTTTAGATTAATGATGTTTCCTAACCAACTTGCCCGCATAATTTAGCTCCTTACATGAAAGCAGCCTTTACGAGTTACGTGACGTCAGCGTGACGTGCGCCTCGGTTGCGGACTATTTGGGCATCGCGCAGGAAGGATGGCTGGCGGTAGGTGTGGGAGGAGCTTCTGGTGTGTTCCTAACCTGAGTCTGACCAGTAATTACTTCTGCTTTCTTTTGTCTTGATATCATGTTGAGGAAATCTCAGACGGTATGTATACATGTATATGACGCTGAAGGCAGGGTTGGGCATTGCTTCGCATTTCGTTCTTTTGCGTTCTTATTGGCTATTGTGAATAGGGACACGTATACCTGCTTGCAGTCCAGGAACGGCGTTGCCCTCATCAGACCCCCGGGTCATCACTCGTCGCCGAACGAGGCTACCGGATTCTGCATGTTCAACAACGTCGCTGTAGCGGCCAAATACGCCATTCGGGAACACGGTCTCAAGAGGTAATCTTTATAAGTAACTAAAAAAAAAAAAAAACGTGTTTTTGAAATTGTGTGCATCGAATTATCGGAGCCGTTACGAGTTCACAATTGTAACGGGCCAACTGAGCTCTGATGACGAGTTTCGAGAATAGCGATTCGCGGGTCCCGGGTGTCCGATATAGACACTTTTCAAAACCCCAATCCAGCAACATTGGCGGGGGCCATTTAATAATAATAATAATGTTTATTTTCAGTCAAAACACAAATGACGGAGGAAGACCGAGGAAAAAAAATGAAAGCCGTTTACAACTCCCTGTAACACCGAATTGGAGCGCAGCTCTTGAGGAGGAGGAGGGAAGGGTACTGAAGGTTACCTGTTCTCGGGGCGGGGGGGGGGGGGGGGTCATGTGACCTTGGGGGGTCACGTGACCCCCCAGAAAAATTTTTCCGCTAGATTTAGCGGGGAATTTTTTCCGCTAAATCTAGCGGGAAAATTTTTCCGCTAGATTTAGCGCGGAATTTTTTCCGCTAAATCTAGCGGGGAAATTTTTCCGCTAGATTTAGCGGGTTAATTTTCCCGCTAGCGGGGCATTTTTCCCGCTAGATTTAGCGGAGAAATATTTCCGCTAGATTTAGCGGAGAAATTTTTCCGCTAGATTTAGCGGGGAAATTTTTCCGCTAGATTTAGCGGGGAATATTTTCCGCTAGATTTAGCGGGGAAATTTTCGCTAGATTTAGCGGGGAATTTTTCCCGCTAGATTTTTCCGCTAGATTTAGCGGGGAAATTTTTCCGCTAAATCTAGCGGGGAAAATTTTTACGCTAGACTTAGCAGAGAAATTTTCCCGCTAAATCTAGCGGGGAAATTTTTCCGCTAGATTTAGCGGGGAAATTTACCCATAATGCACCGCGCGGTTACGCCGACGGCGACGGCGACGCCGACGCCGCTCAAGCCGTAAACGGGCCCCTAAGAGCTGCGCTCTAAAAAGCTGCATCATGCAGCTTGACGGGCCCTCGGCCCGCCCTCCTTACACATGGCAGCAGTGGCACAAGTAATCCAAAAAGAAAACCATGAGGAAAGATAACAATTTCAGAGATAAGAACAGGACAATATTACAAAAAAGGTGCGTTTAACATCACACTGCCTCGTGATGGTTTAACCATCACGAGGCAGTGTGATGTTAAACGCAGCCGGGTGATATAGCTACGAAATTGCAGAGGGTAAGCAAATTGGTGAAGGAAAGAAATCATACTTTTGGTTCTTACTTTCTAGGCCAGGTGGCGCAAGTTACCTCTCGTTACAAAGGGTACATCCATGTCTCGAGCACGAAGCGTGCGGTTGGATCCGAGTACCCGCCGAACGCTGACGCAGCTCTCGTGTAAAAATGGAGGAATCGTATAGTTGGCGCATCAGCTACCAGATGGAGCGCCCTTCTGAAAGGGGCTATAGCCCCGAGAAGTTCGCGTGGCGCCCCCTTACGGCAAACCGGGGTGACGTCACGGCGAGGAGAGAATTTTTCCCCTGCTCGCCCCGCTCGCCTTGTGGAGGCTGTGACGACGCCAACTGTCGGCGCGCTCGTTTCTTTTTAATTTTTTTTGGCGTGTTTTTCGTAGGAAGTGCAAATTTTTTTTATGTGCCTTTATTGAGGTATGGCCTGTAGCTACATGCGAAACTTCAACCAACGTTTTAAGCGTGGTTGACAAGGCAGGCAACGCATTAATCGCAGCTGGCATATGAAAATAAAGAAATATGACCACAATCGCAGGAGCATCACTGAAGATTTACATCTCGCACAATAAATGCTTCTGATGGTCTGAATGAATTGGCAGGTTATGTATACTATTTTTTGTTTTGTATCTCCGTTTTTAAACAAGATCGCCGAAGCAGAAAAGCTGCATGCTGCTCGGGCAACATGCTAAATACAGTCTGGGCCATGGGGAGAGAATCACAAGTAAGACAGCTCAAGTGCAGGGGCAAAGTAAAAAAAAAGAAAAAAACAAGGAACATTATATTATAAACATTGCTCGCATTTGACCTTTGCTGGATTCGGATAGTAGTTCAATGGACTACACGGGTGATATCTGTAGACTTGTTTATATCAACCCTCAAGTACTGTATACGCCTCGCAAGTGGGCTCATTTTCGTCTTTTGCGCATGAGAAAGGAAGTAGCGGTGACGTCAGAACGCCGAGCCCTGATTGGCTGATCGCGACCCCCAATCTAAGCGTCGTCTGCTCCTTTGCAACGTCGTCTGCTCGCAACGTCGTCTACGTCTGTCTTACCTTTCCTGCGACTTTCGGAGCGAACTCGACTTCGCCTTTAAGAGAGGGCAGACGAAATGACTCGAGCGGTGCGTTGTTTCTGTCTAACAACTAGCAGACGCGCATCAAGGAGGGAAGTCAAAGGACTCACTGGCGAGGTGTCCCGGGGCGCCGAGGTTTGTTTGCTTAGAACCGAGAGTGAGCGTGTTAGTGTGCGCTAGTTCCCTCCCAAACACTTTTTCCCTCCATTCGTGTGCGGCGAGACCCCTCACTCTTTATCGGCGTCGGCGGGTTGCCACAGTAAACGTCGTCTGCTTTACGTCTGCTAGTCAAAGCGATGGCTGCTTACCTTTCCTGCGTCTGTCGGAGATTCACCGCTTTTTCACCGGCGAGAGTCACCGTTGCCTCGGGAAGCAAGGAGATAACAAGAGGAAGAAATTGACCTCTTAATCTAAATGAGGTCAGCGATCAAAGTATAATACGGGAAGGGTTCACAAGGGTCGGGCGGGCATTTTCCATTGAGCACGCCAGCCGGTCGTGGGCAGATGGTCGCCGAGTCGCGGAGTGCCTGCTAGGCCTAACTGCCCAGCTCGTTTGGTTGCGTTCGGTGGAATCGTGGCCGTTGGAGCTTTTCCCGGGTGTTTGTGGATCCAGCGTTTTTGTTCGTCGTGGTCTGTTTCAAGTACTTCTTAATTTTTTTCTTGCTGCTTGAAGTCGGGACGCGTCAGAAGCGCAGGTAGAAAAATAAACGTCCGTGGGTCGTCGCGACCGCGACGCTGTCGGCCATGCTGATTTGATCGTAAGAAGTGCGTAAGACAGCTTCAGAGCTGCCGTAGGATTTCGTCGTAACCTGCGCAAAACTTACGAAAATTTCGCTTTGTGAATACGAATTTGTTCTTAAGTTTTGTCTTACGCACATTTTTGGCGTAAGATCGTTTCGTGAATCTGGCCTCTGCGCTTCCGAAAGTTGCAGGAAAGGTAAGACAGACGCAGACGACGTTGCGAGCAGACGACGTTGCAAAGGAGCAGACGACGCTCAGATAGGGGGTCGCGATCAGCCAATCAGGGCTCGGCGTTCTGACGTCACCGCTACCCCCTGCGCAAGAAGCAGACGAACTTGCCCTCCGCATAACAAACGTAAGCGAAGGTGTCTAGCTCGTAATTAGTCCGTTAACCCCTAAAATTGAGATTTTGCTTAAATTGAATTGTCGTGAAGCTAAAATTTTCTCACGTAGACTGTCGCCCTTCACAGGTTCCACATTTTGTGCTATTAGTGCTGCAACTACCACTGGACAGACGTTCGAATGCTTGCTTTTACTCCTGTTTTTCTCTGTTGTCAGAGAGTTCAGCTGTAGGGAGTTTGGAGGCTGAGGAATTTTTTGGGGACCTGCAGCAGTCTCTCTTTTAATTGGAAATGACAATTCAGACTAAACGGTGTTTTTTCCGAATACCCAAGGCTGGAATAAAAATGTCAGGAAAAAGTATAAACATTCCGAATTACGGCACTATTGCTGTGCATATTTTGGGCAGTTCAATACATATGATACAGGCAACTGGGGGCCGTTTGGCCGTTTTTGGCTGCTACCATACAAACTAATTTCCAGTAATTGTGCATAATTAATATGCCTGCGTACGTGTATAAACTGTATACTGTAAACGACTACATTTTCGCGGAGGCCTAATTTTCGCGAATTTCGCGAATCAACTACAAACGCGAGAAATATGTCCCGCGAACAATACGGCCAATATGTGAACGCCACGGAAGCTACGCTCGATTCGCGAAAACTAGAACCCGCAAATAATTTTAGATTTTTAGCTTTGGCCCGATTTGCGAAACTCTGAGCCCGCGAAAATTAATTCGTTTGCAGTAATTAATTTACGAAGAAGCTACATTTATGTAAAACAACCCTGTTCCATGAGCACTTCAAAGATAATCAGACACAGGGCCTTTAAAACATCTGCGAACCAGCGCATGCAGAGTGGCAGCGCAAAGTCGGGGTCGCAAGCTAATTTGCCGACCACACAAAGGCCCATGATATAAATGCCACTTCAAATGCCTTAAAGCGGGATGTAATATCGTCCTAAATTATGAACATGCAAGGAACAGAAATCCAGCGTCTGAAACACTTGCGCCATCGCTTCACCGATCCCTCGCAAAATTGCCTTGTGTCGTGTGGGCGGGTGGGGAGGTTCATCGCGGAATTTGCTTCCGCCGATGGCGTTCGGGATTTGTAACCCAATTTTAAAGGTAAAAAGGACAAGCAGTCTTATTAAATGTACGGAAGCACTTCAATATCGGCCTAACTCAACGTCTTGTACACCGGGTAAACGAAGTCCAGCTCCTCGAAGAGCTTGTGGCACACAACGCCAAACCAGGAAACCGGTGCTGGGAAGCGAGCCGATGCGAGATCGCGGAGCGGAGTCCCCTGCCTGACGTCACGGTTCGCCTCACCCAATCAGGGCGTGGCGACCGCAGCGACGCTTGTGTTCGCTCTCGGGGCTAATATTGACCGCGAGAAATGGTTGACTTGAGACAGTCCTACGGACGAGCACTTTGGCACGTCACAATCAATTGAATAAAAAGAAAAGAAAAGCTAACTCAAAACATGGCGTGACGTGCGCCTCGAAAACAGGGCTGAATGTTATTAACCACTCTATCAAACCCTCTAAAAAAGGCGGCTAGTTATATATTTTTATAAACTACTTGACACACATACGGTCGTGGTATAGACGCTTTGCACACGCGCCAAATTACAGCCGCCATTGGTGACCTTCTCTTGTCTTACCGAGATGCCGAGCAACTGAAACGGTAGTTGACGATCCTCTACAAAGGCCGATGCTTTAGAAAAGGACACAGTTGAATCTAATGTGGCAATAACCTGGCCTTCTATGGTAATGATGAAGTGAAATAAACGGAATAGGAGGAAACAAAAACTGAAGGTCAGTTATGGCGGCGTCCATGCACAGCTGCTGCAAAGCGTCTATAGGAGTGGCCCAAAATACAAATAGAAATATGAACACTAAAAAAATCAGCGCACAGGTGATGAGAGGCCGACTTGGAGACCATATACGATGTTACGCCACCCAGCGTTTAAGACCAATATCACGTTTAATGCTGCCACAAAAAAAAAAACAAAAAAAACCTTAATTTGTTTTAGAAAAAAAACAAAAAAACAACAACAAAGATAGTGACATTATCAATCAATACGTTAAGTGAGTCTGAATTCGCCAAGTCAGCCGGCAATCTGGTTCCATTCAACAATAATTCTAGGCAAAAAAAAAAATGTATTCGCACTTTGTATTTTATAATTGAGCGTGAATGTGATAATCTAGCGTTCAGTCGTCCTGAGAACCTTGTACATTACGAAATGTCAATGTCTAGTTTGCCCCGAATCATTGAACTTTAAACATTTCATCTATTTATTCGCGCACGTTCGATCAACGAGGTTTGCCTGTCGCAAGATTGCTGGGGGGGGGGGGGGGGGGGGGGGGGGGGACTTAACGCGTCATTTTGATATTAAATAAACCTTATCGCTTTTCTTTGTATACGTTTTCTAGCTTATAAATGTTAGTTTTATTTAAGCGTAAATGGTTATTTCTACTAACGCAAGCAAAGCAGTGCGCTTTCCCAAAGAGCAAAGCGTCTGCTCATGCTAGGGTGTATCGATCTTGCCGCCAGCCAGAAACATTGAGCTCGCACTAGCCCTATTTATATAGCCTAGTTTATACACCAACTCATGTTTACAAACAAACCGGAGCGCCCGGAGCGCCCCTAGCGGACGCCACCGGCGCCGCGCATGGGGTGTGGGCAAGAAGCTCGCCGTCGCCCATAAACAAACCATTGAAATGCGATGTTGTCGGCCTCGGTGCGAGTCCCCGCGCTCTTTTTCGCGCTGGAATTGTTGATTCTACGTCCTCGTAACGATATCTGACTACTTCAGCCGCGTCAGCGAAATTAACGAGGCTCGTTACACCGCAAGCCTTCGCGTGAACAATCTGGCATGCGGCGATTCATTCCGCGTGGACACCGCAGAATGTACGCTAAAGCCTGATTCACATGATGAGATTTCGCTCGCGATTTTCAGTAGCGACGTCGCTCGGACTGCAAAAGCGTGAACCGTTGCTGAGATGGTCGAAGTCGATACTGAAAATCGCAAGCAGAATCTAACCAAGTGCATCAGGCATAACAAGTCGGTGATGGCCACTGGTAACAATGATCAACATCTCCTTGTATCTACTGTTTACGTCGAGCCTGCTTACCAACCTTCAAACTTAAGGCTTTTGAGGCCTGCACTTCTTATCGCAAGTACCGAGCCCGCGTTTGGTTTGCGGGCCGGTGTCCTCTAAAAGAGCAGACGACAAGCAGAAACGTTTGAAAGAGCAGACGACAGTTCGAACGATCAGGCGACCGTTTGAACTTGAAGACGCACTGAACGTAGTCCGCAGGTGGTCTGTACAACTTGACTGTTTTCCGGCGTTCATTTTGGAACAAAACAAATAAATCTGACTGCCAGAAGTATCCGTGAATTCAACCCAAAATGCTTCCCGCCCAAGCAACCGTGGTCCGACGGCGTCTGGTTTTCCCTTTTCAAGGCACATATCCACGTTCTCGGACGAACCGAGCGCATGAAAACTGACCTTCAAACCTTTCTCGACCCTTTTGGTACAACCCCAGTCGCAGCATTCTGACAAGAAGGCAGGTTTTTGTCTGGTTCCTTTCAAAACAACGCAGGAATACACGTCTCAGATGGGCACTTCCGCCCATAGCCCCGGACCGGAAGTGCATCCGACGCGCCACCACCGCGCCGTGACGTAACAGAGATGAGTTGGCGTATACAGCCGTTCTAGCCTAGTTTTGAAGACAGTGCCACCGGCTTGGAATGAATTCGGTCAGGGACATGAGTTTGGTGATATGTGCTATATGTTGTGCTTGAAAAGAAGGCGGTCATTTGTGCTGAAATATAATTAAGTTACAAATAAAGTTGCATTTCTACAAATGTAGCTGTTAATTCTACCCGAGAAAGGTAACCCTTTGAAAATATTGCGTGACGTCGATGTCTGCCACGACACACTCTAAAAAAAAAGGGTGTCATGGGGTACACCCATAGGGGGTGTAAGTGGGGGAATACAAGTGCACCCCAAATATGGGAGTACGTGTACACCCGTTGGTGTGGTGCACATGTACACCTTTTTCCACAGAAATCCCATTCGAAGGGAACACAGGTGCACCCCATTCGATGGTGTACGGCTACACCTCTTTCTACACCCGCTTCACTCAAAGGGAACACAGATGCACCCCATTCGATGGTGTACCATTGCACCTCTTCATACACCCGCTTCACTCAAAGGGAACACAGACGCACCCCGCTCAATAGTGTACAATTACTCCCCTTTCTACACCTACTGCTCTCAAAGGGAACAGAGGAGCACCCCGTTCAATAGTGTACTGTTACACCTCTTTCTACACTCGCTGAATTCGAAGAGAACACAGATGCACCCGATTCAAAGGTGCATGGTTACACAACTTTATGCACCCGTTTCATAACTTCATAAACCTATTTAAGACATCAAGGAAAACAGTAAAAAATGTATGCGCCCCGGTGATTGCAAAAAGGCAGGTAAACGGACACACGGTATTGTCTTCAAATCTCATAGAAATTTATTAGACAGCCTATTCCGTAAACAAGTACAAACTTGTAAGCAATCCGCGATATCTGAAGACGTACAAAGAAGCTTTTACACAACTGAAAAGATTACTAAACAAACAAGAACCGGGGGTGAGTCTTAGGTAGTGTCCATTCTGCCAGCAGCCCGTAGAATTATTTCCACAAATATCCACCGGCAGTCGCCGTTAATTCATCGAACGACGTTTCATCGACAGCTCAGATTAGCTTTTCTATTTTAGCTTCTCTTCTTTCTTTTCTTGTAATGAGCCGCCCCGGAATGTATCCGCGAAGTGAAGTGTATGGGGACAGGTGGGCCAACATTTTTGTAATTAGCCGCCGCAGACTGTCGCCACGAAGCGGCGCGAACGGGTCGGCTGGGTCGGTGAGCACGCGCCTCATAGACACACGCGCGACAAAATGTCCCTACAGCGTGCATTTTGCGTAACGAGTGACGATGAAACGTTAGTGTCGATGAAACGTGTCTACAAAACGTGCATCGACAATAACGTGTTTTCACAAAACGCCAGGAGAATAAGAAAGTCAATATTCCACCTGCAGTTGTCACATGATTGTATACAGCTATTGGCAGGCGACTGCCGATAGAATTTCGGGGAAATTATTCTCCCGGCTGCTAGAAAATAAACACTGCCTAATTCTAGAGGTAATCCGGAACGGAACGGTCAGTTGTTGCAAAGGAGTAGGTTGCAGTGCACTTACGATGAAAATACCGGACTTGAAATATGTAATCCGATATATATGTCGACACGGACACTGCAGAACCACACAAACACAAAAACGAAAAGAAAGGGGTCCGTGAAAATTCAACACGATGTGGCCGAAGCAGTAATTTGCCGAACCGAACACTAAACACATCACATAACTTCCTTGGGCTTTTTTGAAGAAATCCCCTGCTGCCGATACACGCGTAGGACTTTTCAAACACTGGAAATCTTGGTACACTCTACTACGTCATCCGTGAAACCTTTACCACGTGATCACGCTCCTGCCGTATCCGCGCCCAGACAGAGGAGTCGAGGGATAAAAAAAAGCCTTCGGTTCATTGGTACGGCAACTGCGCGCCTTCTTCTATGCTTTCAGCTTAGGGAGAGAAAGAAAAAGAAATGAGTATGAAAATTGCAGCTCCTTCAAGGCCAAAAGGGGCCACCCTCGCAAAGGCTTATCTTCAGGGGCAACCCAACAATGAAAGGATTTGTCGCTTATATCCTCTTGAAAGTTCGACCCAAAGTTAATAGTGCAGTGGATGCTATCCGTGGCCTTGGCCTTCAGGCTGGTGCCGTGCTCTGCCTTATCTCTAGCTTGGAGACTGTAGTCACGTGATCCTACCCGGGGACCCGATTGGCCTAAAACAAGCATAGCGTCCACTCTACTGTCAATACCGAGGGAACACGATAGCTCCATACTTCCTAAGAAACTGCCCATCCCAAAAAGTGACCCCCATGGGGGAATTTAAGCACAAGCTGATCGGGGCGCGTGGCTAGCGTGACGGTGCATTGGTACACCTATGTTTTTAAGGGGAGGGGGATGCTCATTGTCGGTGTACAAGCACACTGGCTGGTCAACGGAGGGTGCGTCCTCCAGGAAAGGGGTGCATGAGCGCCTGATGCACCCGACTACACCCTTTTTTCTTAGAGCAACTGACTCAGGGTTCAGCAATCGCAGCACTCATTTTGAGAAGGAATCTAAGTGAACACTTCTAATTTGTCACAAAACATCTTTGACAATTACGGACGCCTTTAAGAATTTAGACGTAGATGATTCTCTGAAACATGCTGCTTAGTCTGGAAAACACCAGAGGAGTCGCTAAAGCTTATGCAATCTGCCCCGAAGCGAAAACCCGCTTGCGACGTATACCTTACAAGGCTCAAGGTGATCTTTATTGTGTTGGTCCAGGATTCTGATTTTCGACTGGGACATTCATCACGGCAACGGAACCCAAACCGTTTTCTACAAGGATGCCTCGTACGTAAAACTGCCTTCTTCTGAGCCGATACTGTAAAAGAATGATAGCCACTCGACAAGTTGTTTCGGAGAAAAAAGTACCGTGTTTTTTCTCGCCGCAAAAACAAGCTACGTATTGTCGGGCGGTGACCCTCCATCCAAGTGTAGCGCCAGCGGTCCCGGTCAGATGTTAAAATGTTTCAAAACTAATCCTTGTATAATTTAAAAGTTATCGGCGATTTTGGAAAATTTTAAATGAGAAAATGGGACGCGTTCCTGGTGGCGTTCGCCATTCGTCTGCGTGTATTCGCAGCTCCATTGATCGCCATTTCCTAACTGAACATTTCTGAAAATCAGTTATAACATTTGAATTAGGTAAAGGTAAGCTCTGAAACTTCAACATTAGGTACCCACCGCTACAGCGTTACATTTGGGCGGAGATTGGTCGTACGGCGATGCGTAGCTTAGTTTTGCGACGAGAAAAAAAAAAAAAAACTTCATTTTTTTTTCCCCGAACACCCTGTATATCAACATTGCAGACCATATGCAAGAACAATTGATGTTTCACTAGTCCTGGCGAGACCAGCGAGAACATAAGCTTAGTGTAAAATGAAATGCCACGATGTCGGTTTCTTTTTTCTTCAGAGTTTTGTACGTTTCTCTGCACCGCTACTCCCTGAAGATATTCCCGCGTACAGAAATCGCAGACGCTACATTCATTGGCGATGGCGACGGAAAAGGTTACAACATAAACATACCATGGACAAAGGTAATCCCTCTTTTTTTTATATTCGATAAAACTTTACTGTGAAGCAAGAGATATGGTCGCACAATACGAAAGGTACTTTCTTGGATCGCAAATATCCTTTAAAAGGGGCGTCACTGGAAACAAAGAAATGTTTTTTTTGGGAACAGAAGGATCGGTGAATGTCAGACAGCGAGTGTTACGTGGTAGTGAGCAGACTAATTAGCTAAAATTTAATAATAAACTTCCAAAATAATAATCCTCAGTTGGCATGCATCCAAATCTGACCAGGGCTTCGTAGACCATCGTCAAAATAGACCATGGCGGCGTTTGTTAGATTTCGGTAAACTAACTGCCTCGCGGTATTCTGTGGTAAATTCACGAAGCGCCCGAGCGTACCCGAAAATGGATGGGCACAGTTAGGGTGTTCTAGTGTATACACAAACCAAACGTTTCGTAGTTTGCATTCTTTGCAAGTTATACGTACTCTGCCCCTTCACTCAAGTCGCTTGAAATAGTGCCTTAAGGTAACGAAATCAAATTAAACCGGATACTGCGGTGGCAGCGCGACGTGTCTTTGTGACAAGCGTTATATCTGTTAAACTCTAAGCGCTCCCTACCTAAAAATCCGGTAAAACTTTTCACTATCCGGATTATGGAACCGGAAATTTGTTTCTGGAAACCCTAAATCCAGATTGCACACAAAGGAATAATTTCTGAAAACCTGAATTCCAGATAGAATCAAGATAGATTTCCGGTTCCATAATCCGGATAGCGAAAAGTTATACCGGATTTTTCGGTAGGGCTCTGGTCATTTATATCGACGGGCGACGTTTTTCTGGTTATGAAGTGCCAGCTAAGATATGAGCGTCTCAGAAGTCAATTAGCTTGTTATAGTTAATTAGTCGACTATGATTCAATATCCGTAGTAATGCTATCCCGAAAAAACATTTTTTTCTCCCCGAGTCACTTTTTTTTAAATATTTTTAACTTAAAAATAACTGAAAAGTACCGCCTTATGATGGCCATCTTGAACGTGCTACAAGCTCTATACAAAATCGAATACATCGTTGTGCAAACTTTGAAGTAAAGAAAAAATAAAAATCAGCCCCCTCGAACGATGTGACCCAGTTCTTCAGATAATGAGTTCGCGTTAGCCTATAAATAATGAAGTACATAAATATATCATTCGATCAATTACCCAACACTATCAACCTTCTTTGAGGACTTGAGCACGCGCTTTCGGAGCTTCGCTTCACGCTCATGACGACGCTTTTTTACACTTCGTAGCCAGCCATGACCGATGCCGACTACCTGACAGCGATGCACCAACTCATCTTACCCGTCGCCTATGAGGTATGTCACATCGCAATTACTTGTTGTAGTATTTGCAGATTTGCGCCTCTTCCAGTAGCTCATTCCCGTTCAAACTCGGAAGAAGTAATGTCTAAGCATTGCCTCCTATATACTGACAAAGCCTGGCAGATTTTGGCGGCCGCTTCGGCCGCCAAAATAAAAAAAGGTGGAGCGGCATTTCGTCGCGCCCCGCTGCGGCGAAATGCCGAAACACACTTCTCCCGAGCCAAAAAGCATGTTTCGGGTCCTCGCCGCTTCAAAATCTGAGCGCTGACGTCCAGGCTCTCCGAGAAATGGCCCTTCAATGCTCTGTGTTACCAGATCCTAGCTCGCGCTCCAAATCTGCGACCGGGCACTCTATGACTCCGTCGTCGAACTGCCAGGCTTTGTGGGTAAAAAGGAGGCTATGGTCAAAGGCTACTTTAATTAAAATAGGAAGGGGGGGGGGGGGGGGGGGGGGGGAGAGATTTTAACCACAAGGGGCAAAAGATATGCGGAAAGACAAGTATTTTAGAAGAGAATAGGAATGCGCGTGCACTTTGATCAGCTCTCAGGCACGTGCTCGCGCACCTTTGACTGCATAGGCACAGAGAGTTAATTCTCTCCGAGCGTGATAACAACATCTACAGATTTTGACGACGTCTTTTTAGTTTGTAACTAAAACTGCAAGTTAGTTGTTGTTTTATAATATAAATTATAACTAGAACGCTTTTTTTTTTTTTTTTAGAGTTTGTGTGTGCATTTACAATAAGTATAGAGCATTCCAGAAAAGGGCCTCTGGCGGGTGCCGTTTTCAGCGTTTGCGCTTCGGCACGATTTTTGCTCGTATTCCGAAGCGACCAGCCGGCGTGCACTGGGCTGTGATTTATAAACATTGGAACAGTGCGCATAACCAGCTAGGAACAAGTAGTGAAGTATCAAGTTGTTCTTTTGTTATCGAAGTTGTCTTGCTCCCATAGAAAAAATAATAATTTTGACAATAAAGGAACGTCATTAATCTGTCGATTATAAAACAAATAAAGAAGACCTATTTCGGCTACGCGTACTCATCCAAACACGTGGCTTCTCTTATGATCGTCTAAATCTCGCGCATGTAGTATACACACTTTTTAGAAATTACAATCAATTATTTTAAAATATTATTCGAAACATCCCTACAATTTTTTTGTTCCAATAAGGACATTTTTGCGGGAACGTACGGAATTGTATACAATTCACTCGTCTCGCGAGACAAACGAATAGAAAACAACAAATATTGTGATGACAGACAAGTCAAGCACACCTTATCTGCAACTTTTTTTTCTTTTCTTTTTTTTACGTTTTAACAAAAGTAATGACTTAACAAGCAGTACTACTAAAGATGGCCCGAGACGCTAAATGTACTATGAAATACTTCGAAGAACAACGTTGTGCCTTTAGAGCAAACAATGAACCTCGTTCCTCTCGCGTGTTCTTTTCCCCTCTGAAGTTCAATCCAGAACTGGTGATTATATCTGCTGGCTTTGACTCCGCTAAGGGAGACCTGCTGGTAAGTATAATATTTTTTCATATCTTCTTCAACTCAATATATTTCCAACTCAATAGTCAACATGTCACGTGTCTCGTGGGCACAACGCAACAAAATTAGAGATGTTATTAGAAATGCTGTGTCGTCTTTCGTGTGTGTACGTCAACGTTCTACATATGTCTTCTTTTTCTTGAATGTTTTAATGCTTCGATTGTTTTATGTTTATGGTAGTGTTCCACGTGTATTTTTGTTTTTGTATACCCCCTAAATGAATTAAATAACGATGCGTCCATCGGTGCTCTGTGGAACGTATTTAAAACAACTCGCTCTCTTAATTGATCGTGGCTCGTAAGAAAACATGTTCCACTTCGTTTACTCACTAAGCCAGCCACTACATCGTATCATTTGCTGTTACACAGACGAAACAGATGGTTTGTTCATAAGAACAGGCTGTGCTTTGGTCCCGCAAAAGCGATCGGCGGACCGAGTGCGACTTCATAGCAGGTCACACAACATGAACTTCACGTTCTGTCTGCGACTTAATGCGTTCTCCCCCACAATCCCCCTAGTGTGTCAGCATATTCAATATTAGGATCACTTGAAGCAACGCCCACCAGCGTGAGGCTCGTAGGATGCGGATAAAAGTAATCGTGTTGCAGCTGAGCAGTTACTTGCACGAGTAATTTTGTTGTTGCTACGTGGATGTTTTCATTGGAGTGATCAAACGTTGAGTGTTATTCATTTTCGAGGTTATTTATCTATAGTAGTAATTGCTACAATTAACCAAGGTCTCGTGTAATCAGCAAAAATCGAGCAACTAAAGATGTTTTGCGGTTATAGCGGAGATACTTAACTTGAAATGTGCAATGCAACCAGCAGAAGACGGGCGAGAGAAATCATATGACAACTAGTAATATAATTTTTTTTTTTTTTTACGTTTTAAACTAGCGAAGAGCATTTGGCACGCCCCAGGGGAGAACTGAGGATTAATTTCAACCGGATGGAAATATTCTGACGTGCAACAAAAAGCTTCTTTGCACGGCGTCTTCTCCGCAATAAGGCTACGCCAGATTGCGGGCACTTCGGCCGGGATTCGAACCCGCCAGCTGGGGGTCCGTAGGCCGGAGCTTTGCCTCAAAGTGAACGAGGCGGCAAAAAGAAAAAAAAATCATCCAGAGGAAATTAGATCGTAACCAGTATCGCTCAATCTTCGTAACATGACAGGATATCCACATCTGTACAGGCCACAACGCAGCAAACACAAACAAGCAGTCAGCTTTTTTTTTTTTTTTCACTGTTTTTTACGAGCAGCTGAAATTGCTAGTTTCGTAGAATGCACTCACCCACACATGTCGATGTCGCGTTTGCAGCACCGATATCGCCCAGTACATGCTCCAAGTTAAATCCCGGTTATTCAAAGTAAAAAAAAAAAAAAAAAATCTCTATTTACTGCGTCCGTTTGCAGAAGACACGTCTGAACGGCGCTTACAGCCGGGAGGAAGTTACCACGTCCTGCATACTCCATGTAGCCTAAACTTCCGATTAGGCCAACAAAATGAAGTTGCGTTAAAACTTATATACAAAGCTACATTTTAGTAAACGGCAAAATCAACGTAAGAAAGCCAACGTTGACGAAAACTTACCTGTATCTCTGTGCATGGCTGGCGGGTGCCAACAGTGAATGCATGCGCCTACGTATAATCTGCAACAAAAACTACACCGTTTTGTTTTGTTTTGTTTTTTATAATTATGACACGAGCATGATGATTCTAGACAGGAATATTTCAAAATTCCTCTGAGGTCGGTTCTACAAACTGTCCTCCCGGCAAGAACAACCGCAGGTCCGACGCGGTTTTCGTTTTCTCAAAGAAACGCTCTTTTGTTTCCCCGCTCGGACAATAAGTAAACAATTCCGAACTCCCTCGGTCTTCGGTCGCGTTCATATAAACAACGACATTGTAACCTGCTGACATACGAGGGGGGAAGTGGGGAAGGGGAAGGTCAGTGAAACTTTGTAGAAACTTTGTAAGCGCCACACATCCCTCGATCGAAAAAATCAGAATAAAGAGGCAGGTGAGCTAGAGACGGTGTTGTTCTTGTCCCTTTTGCTCCTTGTCTCTGGGTTTTAGAGTTATTGGCTAGCCCCGACTGTGTAAAGCAGATAGTCTCCGAACGGGTGAGTGTGGTCACAGACGGGCAGAGTAAATGACAGCAAGGACTCGCTGCAGTGATCTGTTTTTTACTTATTTTTCTCGCATGTTTTTGTTTCTCGCTTCGCCGGCGAGCGGGAGCTACGTAAATGAAAACTGTTTTGTTTGTTTTCCCTTGCCTGTAAAAAAAAAAAAAAAGCCGTCTAAAACCAAAAAGATGTTTTTTTGCGTAGATTATTTTTTCCCCACATATAATCGGAAGAAAGGAACGACGGTTCCGTCAGGCCACCTATATTGAGAATTTTAAACGGAAAAAACGGAAAGCCAGTGTATATATATGTACGTGTGTGTGTGTGTGTGTGTTTTTTTTAATTTAAATAATTAAAAATAACATTTTTTTTTTTTTTTTAGGGAGATTGTTGCGTGACCCCTGCAGGATATCAACACATCACGTCGCTACTGCGAAACTTGGCCGGCGGGAAGCTGATTCTTCAACTGGAGGTGAGCCCGCTCCATCGGACTCCGTTCCCCAAGCCGAATCGGAGCAATTCCAAGCAGCCTGCGCGCCACGCCATCGTCGGTTCGAATGCAAGAGCCAAACGCCGGCGTTCCGCGTTCTCGCGCGTTCAACGAGTGCAGTCGAGACAAGAGCCAGCTAGCTTTAGGCCTACCCACTAATCCTGCGAATCAGACCTCGGCGTTGTGACGTCACCGCGCTCTCTCGTCTATTCTCTTCTCCCTCAGTTTCTCCGCGCATTGGTCGGAGGATCTCTTTGGCGGGCTTTGTTGCAGTGCACCGAAGCTCGGCAGGCAAAGCACGCTTTACAGGAGATGAGTTCGGTGGCGTTCTTTTCTCTCGTACGACGGTCAATCGTCCTTTCGTCATTCGCTTTTATTTTATTTTTCCTTACTCGTTCTGGTCTTATAAAAATTACCACGCACATAAAAAACATACATATATGTTACTTACTCTTAGGAATTTGATTGTTGTGAGACAGAATGTGCAGGTTGTTTTGAGCTGCGCATTTCGCTAGGGCAAGCGTTACCTCGCCCAACAGAGTTAGCATTTTGCGTAACGGGACTGAAGTGTGTGCCACATTTTGGGCGGGCGTGTGACGGTCTTTTGTGGCGTCACGTCAAAATTTCCTAAGGGATGCGACCCCAGCCCTTAGAAACATTGTCCGTTAAAAACGTGAAAATTAAGAAGTGAGGAAATAGGTTCGTTGTGGGGACTGCGGCAAAACAGTGGACATACCAAACCATTCTTGGCTGCTTGGAAACTTACTTTTTACACAGCCTCCCCTCTATCCAGGGGCGGATCCAGAACTCCGTTTTCGGGGGGGGGGGGGGGGGGGGGCGGAAAATTTGTAAGGATACTATTCTCTTATTCTTTTGTGTGCACCGCGGGGGTCCACCCATGTCAAATTGCCCTCCAAGAAGGGGGAGGTGGAGGGGGAGGGGTCGACTTTGTTTGGGGGAGGCGGCCGCCCCCGTCGCCCCCCCCCCCCCCCTTGGATTGGCCGCTGCCTTTATCTTCTTGCAGACATTTTCTTTCAGTATACTCGTGTTTTTTTTTGTTGTTTTTTTCAATGTGGTAGCGCAGATTTATGGCAGCCGCATCCGTCTTTGGTGGAGGCAGACGTTGTGCAAAAAGGCAGATACTTTTTTTTTCTTTTCTGCCACAGTAGCATCGTCTGGCCGGCAGATGACGCTGTCGGCAGCGGCCTGCCGGGTGCCGACCAATGCAGGACCGATATTGAACTTTCCGTGACTCTCACAGGGCCGTTACACGCGTAGCGATTTGCCCAGCTCGGCCTCCGCGCATCTGTCATCGCGTAAAAGGAAAAAATAAAACTTTCAGCCGTATTTCGATCTAGCCATCAAACCGTCACGTATGGAAGTGCGTTTTACGGGTAACGTAGCGGCCGCGCCTTGTCGTCCAGTCGCGACCCTCCTGGCACGCACCGACGCGCCTTTTTGAAGCGTCGCCTCGTCGCTTCGTCACCCTCTCCCACCCGCCTCTTGCTACGGCACGGCAGACGTACAGACCGAGGCGATGAAGCGTCGTGGTTCATCCGGCACAGGTGTACGGCACCTTCTACAACTGTGCCCGGAACACGCTTTCGACCGGTTTTTTTCTAGCGTCGAAACCGCCAATTTGTCGAAAGCGGCCCCGAAACCGCAATAAATGACGTCACAGAAGCCGGAGTGTCGCGCTGTCGGACGTCGCGATCCTGGCGGTTGGTGGGAGTGAACCCGGCAAATAAGCACGAGCGACCGCGAGTGTCGCTGTCGTCGCAGCGTCCCAACTCCTGGCTACCAAAGCTTCCGTGGACTGTCGAGCTGGAGAGCGACCTGCGGTAGAACGGGCGTCTGTCAGATCCACCACCGCTGCTGTGACACCGCCAGGATCGTGGCCGAAGACAACATGACACTTATGTGACGTCATCAGGCGAATATCGAGTGACCAATTTTTGTACGGCGTGAACTCACCAGTCGGACACGCGATCAGGGCACCGCAGTCCTAAGCTTGCGCGACCTCGAGCCCCGCATGCACGTGAAATACAAGTTAGTTTTCATTACACAAACTCACTTACAAAACGGGAGTTTATTCGTGGCCGCACAAAAAATTCCCAGCTAACGCTAAAAACACACAAAAAAAACTGCGTTAGTGCATTTTGGAATATGCAGCATCGTCGCGACAGCGTCAAAGCTCCAACAAAAAACTGCACACGTGAAAAAAAAAAAAAATCTGTTTAACGAGACGAGAGGGAGTCGAATTAGAAGGCAGAGATAAAAGCGTACTCGTAAGTTTGACAATTTAGACGACAAGTGTTTTAATCGGTACATCCATAGCCTCGTCTATACTCACAAAGCCTGGCAGTTCGACGACGGAGCCATAATGCCCGGTCTCAGATTTGGAGCGCGAGGATCTGGTAGCACAGAGGATTTATCAGGAAAGCTGGTATCCAGCGCACAGCTTTTGCAGCGGCGAGGACCCGAAACATGGTTTTCAAACCCGACGAGAAAAGAAGAGGTAGCGCGAGGAACGCGAGGAGCACGAGCGGACATTTCATCGCTCGGGAGAAGTGCGTTTCGGCGTCTCGCCGCAGCGGGGCGCCCGTTACATGACTCACCTCTCATCCGTTGTCTGCCGCGCCCTACCTTTTCACTTTTGGCGGCCGCGTCTCGTGGCGATCTGCCAGGCTTTGTCAGTATAGAAGAGGCTATGGTACACCTCTCTAAGAGGCGTTCACCTTCACAGTAGAAACAACCGTTCGAAGCGCGATTAAAGAGGGAGCTGAAAATTTGCATGGTCCGTTTTAGTTTCGAAGGGAAGCGAATTTTGACTAAAAATAGGCACTACTCTTGGCTGTAATTTTACACAGAACAGAATGGACTGCAACAGATGCTACGAACCATCCCAGCGCTGCATACATATCACGTGACTACGCGGCGTTGGACTGCAACAGATGCTACGAACCATCCCTCAAAATCACGTGACACTTGCACGGCGTTGAATTGGCTGGACGCATTGTTACGTGGTTTCGCCCCTGCTTTGAACCGGCTTGCTTAGTCAGTTTTCAGTAACTTCTGTTCTGGGAATCCGCGTTATTTTTTTTTTTTTTTACATCTTTCGCTTATTGACAAGGTACAAGACTTTTCTGCACGACTGAACAATTTCCGATGAAAGTAACGTCTACTTATGCTAGATGCATTAATACCGCTGAACCCTTCGAATCGGGCGGCGGCTTGCGCCGCCTAGCGAGTGATCTCTTCAACAGCCTACACCATTATGTAGGGCTGTCAGGAACATGGCTGCGCCGTTCTCTTCTTCAGGGAGGTTACAACGTGGACGTGGTGGCCGAATGCATGGCCGCGTGCATGGCTACGCTGCTGGGAGACCCAGTCATGGCCGTGACAGACTCGAGACCATCCACAAGGTATGTCGAGGACGAGACGATGCGCGAGTTGTGCACGCGAGCGCGGTCATTCCTACATTCCTATATTTGCTTCAGTTTGCATTGAGGGTTCTTGACGCCAACGCAAGCCTTGTGTCTTGTCTTGTGTCTGTGACGACAACGCAAGCCTTCAGAACCCCCAGTCTGAGAGAGGTGCGGGTTTGGAAGAGATAAAGGATGTAACTTGGCTCGTGCTGAAAGCCTGAATATTAACCAGGTTGATCATGTGGGCGTTTATGTAATTTCATTGCGGACATCGTGAAAGTTCCATGGAAACAGATCTGAATAGGCGGGCGTTCACTGGTTTTCTCCAAGGGACAAAGTAATACAAAGTAGACAAACAACCAGAAATATACTGTAAAACCCTTAATGTTCGCGAGCCCTCAATTTTCGTGAAATTGAAGGGCGTGCGAAAATTTCGGTCCTTAAGATTTTCAATGCAGGCGTCTTGAATTCGCGAAATTTAGTGGTCGCGATTATGTCATCTGTGACCGATTGGCGAAAAATAGGCGCCGCGAAAATAAAGGGTTTTACAGTATACTGACTGGCGCCATTCAATTACACGTCAAAGCTTGCGATTTTAGAGCGAGGCTCTTCGGCGCTCGTTCCCGCGTTTCGCGGCGTCGCCGTCGGCGTAACCGCGCGCGTTGCAGTATGGGACGTCACAGACCTATACGAGAATTCAATTGCCCGCTAAATTTAGCGAAGAAACCGAATTGGTGTGTAGGTCTGTGACGTCCCATAATGCAACACCGCGCATTCAGTTCCCCCGCTAAATTTAGCGGGGAAACTGAATTGGTGTTGAGGTCACGTGGCGTCAATTTTCGAGCTAAATTTAGCGGGGAAACTGTGGGGGGAGGTGTGGTTATGGAGGAGGAGGAGAGAAGGACGGGAGAAGGAGGAAAGAAGGTCCCTACGTACCCCCCCTCCATAACCTCCCCTTTTGCGTACCCTCCCCTTTTCCTTCTCCATACCCTCCTCCTCCTGCGTACCCTCCCGTCACGGCATATCGCACAATCAAAATACCTCAAGAGCCGCGCTCTATAATTTCGTATTACAGATTTTTGTAAACGTCTTTAAAGGTTTTGTTAATCCTGTCGAAAATAGCGATTTTAGCGAAGTTTTTACAGTAAACTGAATATCTTACAAGATTTTATATTTTTAATCTATCTAATTAGAACAGTCGTTTTAGATTATTAAAACAGAAAAAAAAACTTGCAGCATTTTTTAAGCAACGTCTAGCAAGTCTACAGTTCAAACTCGTTTCCCAAATTAAATTTTTTTTTTTTTATGTACGGACGTCTAAATGCCACTAGCACCCGCATTCCTGTGATGTTCAAATGCACAAGCAAGAATGCTAAATCTATTTTAACCAACTCCCGAGCGCCAAATGGCTTCACAAGGTTCTTAATCTCCCAGTGCCCTGGCATCTATTGAACGAGCCAGGACTGCCGTGAAGCCGTACTGGAAATGCCTCACCCCTGAAGGTAAGAGCTGCGCACTGGAGGGCTCATGGTTAATTCCATTCAATAGACACGTTTAAAAAGTGTGCGTCATCTAGTAACTACTGCACCAGATATCCGAATCCGCCGTTGTTAAGAGTTCAGCGGAAGCTCCTCCCACCTCTTTCCACCTTAGCAGTGTGAACCCTGGGGAGGTGGCAACCTCCTTTCCAACGTTCACCCTGCTAGGTGGCGCAAGCTACCGCCGATTACAGTGGGTATAGCCATTAACATCCATCCATCCTGCTAGAGTGGGAAGAGGTGGGGAGGAGCTTCCCCTGAATTCTTAACCTGTGTTGGTTACGAGTAGGGGTGTCGCGAGCTTTTGTCGAACCGGATTTTTAGGTCGAACTTTCGGGGTCGACGAACCTTCGAACTTTTCACCATATTCGACCGGTTCGACCACTGATCTCTATGACAATTGCTGGATCGCGCTTCCCCGCTTGTTCGCTGCAGCGCAAGTGAAGCCACCGGGCTTCACTCGCTTGGGATACGATTTGCCGTTTTTGCTAGCCTTTGCTGCGGTTTTCCAGCGTGCTGACGACACGTTTTCTACTCGTTCGTCGTCATTCGCCGAAGAAGTTTTTTGAAGACTCTGTGTATTGTTGAGACTTTCCGTTGTGAACACGTGGAAAATTTGACGAAAGTGCAGTGTCGCAGGAAAAAGGCACAACGCGTCGAAAGGAAGGGCTGGCGGCGTGTTCAAAGCATCCTTGGCACGCCGAAGTGCCGTGTCTCTGTGCCTTCGCACGCTTGGATACCGACCAAGAACCGACGCCGTGTGTATGTGTTCAGTGAGTGCAATGTGCGTGAAGCTGTTCGTGCCTCTGGATCAGCGTCTTTTCCCCTCGCGGTTTAGGAACGAGCTTAATCCAGCGTCCACTAGCGACGGAGGATGGGGAGAAGGTACGTCTTTTTTTCGTCCTTAGACGATTTACACAATACCGTGCACAACAGCTCCTCATCACTGATCAGTGCTGGCTTATTATCAACCTACGCGACTCGCCTAATTGTAATTGGTCAACAGATTGCACACGACCATATCGGCCGCGCTTCAAAGATTTTCATTCTCGCCGTCTTGTACTTTTGCTTTCGAAAAACCCCCTGGCTCCACGTGCAACGTTGCCCTATTTGTGCTCCCACGGAATCTATTAGAGTAGATTTGGGACATAGCCATGGTTAATATAGAACATAAGAATACGTACAGATCTCCCCCTTTTATTGATAGCAACTCACCGGAACAGCTGGACGATCCAGAACTCCGTGGCCGATATATATAAATGATCTAAAGGCATCTATGCGCGACACACGTTCAGAACTTTGGCGCGGCGTCAATTCTTGACCGGTATCCAAGCGTGCGAAGGCACAAAGATGCATCACTCAGCGTGCCAAGGAAGCTTTGATCACGCCGCGACACCGGCGACACGTTTTCGACGAGTTGTACCTTTTGATACGGCTTCACGCACATTGCACTCGCTGAACACATTCACACGGCGTCGGTTCTTGGTCGGTATCCAAGCGCGCGAAGGCACAGAGACACGGCACTTCGGCGTGCCAAGGATGCTTTGAACACGCCGCCAGCCCTTCCTTTCGACGCGTTGTGCCTTTTTCCTGCGACACTGCACTTTCGTAAAATTTTCCACGTGTTCACAACGGAAAGTCTCAACAATACACAGAGTCTTCAAAAAACTTCTTCGGCGAATGACGACGAACGAGTAGAAAACGTGTCGTCAGCACGCTGGAAAACCGCAGCAAAGGCTAGCAAAAACGGCAAATCGTATCCCAAGCGAGTGACGCCCGGTGGCTTCACTTGCGGGAGCTGCAAGCGCGATCCAGCAATTGTCATTGAGATCAGTGGGTTCGACTTCGTGGACAGTGTGGCCAGACCTTGATACAAGCATGTCTAGGTTTGGAGAATTTTTTTTACGCAAAGGGTTATTTTAATTTTGTGAACAGCTACAATTTAAAAAAAAAACTGATTCTAATAACTGAAGAAGTTAATAATTTAATTTGTTATATTGTATTAACTCAAATAACCAATCAGCGCTGCCCTTAGTTCATCCCTTAGTCATCACCATCCAATCCAAAGCCAACTGGCCAGCCTGTCGCGCATGCGCACACTAGTCGAACCTCAATACAAGGTTCGTCGAATTTTCCCCTACAAGTTCGAAAAAGTCGAACCTGGTCGAACTCGAACCTCGGCCGGTTCGCGACACCCCTAGTTACGAGGGTGGCGTCAACGTTGGGCGTAAACTCGATTCAGCTCGCATTGCGTGCGAGTGAGTTTGGCAAGGACTCGGATTCCCCCCCCCCCCCCCCCCAATCCGCATCTTAATGCCTAATGGATGGATGGATGTTAATGGCTATACTCTTTATAATGGGTGGTAGCTTGCGCCATCTAGCATAAGTCTAAAAACAAAAGGCAATCGTTAATGCTGTTTGATGGGGTTTTTGAAAATGTTCTATTAGATGACTGTGTGAACCTGCCCCTGAATAATGTATGCTAGTTTCCCACCAAAAATGTAAGCATACGGAGAGTGCACCTGCCCGCTCGTAAATGTATTTGTGCAGCACTATCGTACGTTTGCAGGCGCCTGTTTGACTGGTTTGTTCCTTGTACACGGGTGTTTTGGTGTTATAGGGGTTTATTTTTCAATCCGGTTCGGCGGTTTCCGGTGTCAATCCTCGGTGTTGAACAAAAAAAAAAAATTGCATTTGTCGGGGTTTATGTTGAGAATATAGGACACGGGTATAATATTCTTCAAACTCCAGGCAACATGCCCGTGACCTGAATACTTGGAAAACAACCCGGTACCGATAAGAGAATGAAACTAGGTAAAGGGTAGAAACTTTTTTTTTTCCGCAAAGGCTTTTCTTTTCTTTTTTTTTTTTTTTTTTTTGAGGGCAGATTAAATTTGGTGTTTTCGGTTTTATGTTTTGGTATTTAGCGAAAACGCAAAACCATCGTTTAAAAAAAAAAAAAAAAAAAGCACTAGCTAACTTACAAAGTATTATCCTACGCAACGCGCCACAGTGAGCCTTAGCACTCATAGAACAAGCAATGGGCAAGATATGCTGAACAACAAACTACCAAGATCACTAACGAGATTAGCTGCCGAAAATGTCGAGCTTTTAGGTATTACGTTTTTAGCATTGCGTTGTCATTTCAGCCACCAGTCGACATTTCTTATGTAAAAAAATGCTGTGTGATATTATTCCACCTTGAGACTTGTTCATTTACACAATCCTGTTTTCTTTTTTTTTTTTTGTTAATGTATTTGCAGATAGCCTTCTTTAGCGTGGTTGTGGCATAGTTTGACAGTACCCATTGTTGCTTCTCGTTTTTTTTTTTTTGTTAGTGTTGTAATTTGTATGGTATGGTGATTATTTTTTTTTAGCGTTGCATAAATGCCAATATGGGGGCCTGTGGCTTTGTCAAGCTGGCTTTCCGACAGCTTTTTCCACAAGCCTCCAGTATCCTGTGCGGTCTGCTTAATGCAAATGAAATAAACAACAGCAACAACAATACAGCATTATAGCTATCAACCTGATCGTATTTTTTGTATCCGCGTTTTTGACCAGATACGCCAATCGTCGTGGAGCCCGAAAAGCCGATCGAATCGGTGAGTACCTCTGTAAAGCGTCTCAATCAAGGGGAAGTGTTATAAACACAGACAGTTTGCTCGGGCACTCTGTGTACGTAGACTGATTACACGCAAACGAAGCTCCCCAACCGCTTGCAAACAAGGACTCCCTCGACGTCGCAGTAAACGATGCATGGCGGCACATTAGGGGCTTTCACCGCCGCTTATTCGCCAGTTCGCATGTCCAATTAGCACCCCACAAAAATTGTTTTTAGTTCAGCTTGTCCCGAAGCTTGACAGTCGAAAAAACTCCATCTTAACAACGATCTAACGGATATCCTACATTCAAATTAATGACGGAAACCTCGCTTGCTCCCTTCTTTGTGACGACACTCTCTAGCAGAGTCAAGGCCTGTACACTAGAACTGTGACGTCATCACCGTGAGATCGAGCGAGGACGCCGATTGGACACGTGTACCGCGTCAGCGGTCGGTTGGGTTCGGTTGTCCAATGAACGCGCCGAGGGTCTCTCGGCATCGGGCCCCATTGTCGAGTTGGCGTCATCCGGCTGTGATGACGTTGCATCGGGGAAGAGGAGAAGGAGGATGTTTGCAGGCCTCGATTATTCAACGCGCTCCGTGTTTTCGGAGTTCATTTCTCGTGACATTCGGAGAGCGTGTTTCTGAGTTTATTCTTCGCTGAAAAAATTCGGGGTTTACCAGAGTTTATTTTTGTGAGAATCCCAATTCTCTTAAATTCTGAGTTTTTTTGTCTTTTTTTATTACGTTATCAATTTAATAAAAAAAAATCAAAAGCAAAATAAATAAAGCCTGGGTACCATCACCCGTTATCCCGAAGGAACTTTGACGAGCTAAAAGGCAAACCCTTTTTGTTAGTAGCTCAAGATTTCAAAGGAAACTTAAAGGGATACTACAACGAAATTTCGGCGCTCATTTTTTGGTCTATATATGTTCAAAGGAGCATCACGTCGAACATACCAATATCTTGTTAAAAAAGTCACGAAAAGGAATTTTAAAACGAATTAAACGATTAGCAAAGAGCACCTGGTGGATGTCGCTAACGCCTCGCTTGTAATGCCCGTCTAGGAACCTTGACAGCTAGTGACGGAGGTTGTCTCGCCTCCGGCCACGACGAGAGAAGAGGGGCAGGAGGAACTCCCCTCTTCCCGAGAATGCCTTTTGTGTGTCGCAGAAGTCGCTATTGTCCCCCTTAAAGATTATCGAAGATGAACCCGTCACTCAAAATTCGTACAAAAGCAGCCGCTTCAGTGGCTTTAACGACTAATGGTGAATTCCACTCGTAGATCTGGAGCGCTTTCCAAAATCCGCGAGGGAGGCAAAATTCCGCTCCGTGGGACCCGCTCCGAATCGACGAGGGGAAGATAAACATGCATTTTTGGAGCGACCTCCCCCACACCCCTTCCCCCTCCGCCGTACAAAATGGCCGCTGCTCGAACTTGACCAGTACCACCAACGCCTCAGCCGGCTAATCTTTCCGACGACCAGTGGCGACTGTCACTGCTTAGCTGCAGAAGTAACACGCGACACAGACCGGGCGAAATTATACGTACCACGGCGCCCATGTCACAAATCACGAATACGTCCGCGTTCGGCACCGTCACATACCTTTCGGCCGCCTCGAAGCGGCGGGGCACGGACAGCGATTGCCAGCGGTGGAGTTCAGATTTGTAGTACGACTTTAATAAACACAGAGGTAACAAACCATCACTTGCGCGGTCGTTGCCTAACTACTTCTTGCTTTATTTCACGGGAAAACGCGGCGATCGACTATCCACTGAAATATTGCTATCGGAACACGGGAAACAATATCCGATTTAGTTAGAGTCTGTTTCCGAACAATGAAGTTGCGTTGGACACCCCTGTATTGTGTTTCTTTTTCATCAAATAAAGTTCACGTATACAAAACTTGCTGCCGAGAACGGAGAAACGACAGTGCGACGTTTTTCTTTGCCACCGGTATCTCGCTCTCGCGACTTACAGGTACAGACATACGCAGCTCTAGAGAAGGAGACGAATCATTTCCTTGGCTGAATATATATTTATTTTTCGTTGCGCCACATTATGTATAATACACAGCGTTTCGCTACATTTTACCGATCACCGCGAAACCGCACAGAAAGCGAGACCGTGCATTGGTTAGGCCTACGTCAACCACACCGATCAGCTCAGCTGGACCTGGGCGCGTGCCAGGGTCTAGATTGACAGTACAGTACATACCATACGTTGAAATAAACAAGACAAATTCTGGTCATATGCAGTAACAGTAGCTAGAAAAGCACAACTGACCGCATTCGCGAGGTTTACGACAAGGTTTATGCTGCCGCCTGCAACCAGCGACGATTCGGACGAATCTCCGAATCTGCCGAATATTCGTCGCGGGAAGTTCGGAAATTTCCGAATCTGTCCGAATCCGAATCTCGGGTGATTCGTCCCATCACTATGTGAAACCCCGCAGAGCAAGTTCGGCGGAGTTTGGGGCGCTCCGTGGAGCGGGCGCTGCCAGAGATCTACGAGCGGAAGATGATCAACTTGAGCCAGATCTGCGAGCGGAATATGCGCGCTCCAAATGGAGCGCTTTTGGAGCGCTCGAGATCTGCGAGCGGAATTCACCATAAGCCATCCTCTCGACGTCAGCCTCGCCGTAGCTTTGCTCGTCCCGAGACGAACTACGTCACGATTGCGTTGGATGTCACGTGGTCTCCGCTGGGCCTTCTCCGAGCGCTTGCCAGAGTGGGCCGTTTATAACGAAAAATACAGCCACCAGGCTCAAAATAAAAACGTGCGATTGTCATTTACGGATATTGTGGATCATATTCCACCTATTGTTGAACACGACGGGAATATTTTAAATTTCGTTGAAGTATCCCTTTAAAGGGGCACTGACACCCCAAGGGTCGATTTTTTTTTATCGTCTAAAACGATGCAAGTTGTAGTCATAGACACAAAAAAAAAAAAAAAACGCATCGCGAAAAAAAAAAATTTCCCACGCGTGCGCATTTTTTTATTTTTGGCATTTTTCTCTCCCGCTCCTCGCTTATCTTGACTCGTAACGTCAAAAATCATGAAATTTAGAAGCTTTGTAGGCGACATTTCTATAACATTTAATAGCGACTATCGTAAAACATGTTTTTTTAACGCAATTGCAAACGCACTACGGCCCTTTCTTTTTTTTTTTTTTTTAATACCAAAAATCGGAATCCGGTGTGATGTCGCCTCCTGGATTTGTATTTTCCCTCGGAAAACATGCCGCCTGGGCAGGCGGCACCGCTCGCACAGAACCGGTTTTTCTCGGTCCGCCGGCGCCCTTATCTCCTTTCCCTTTCCTCCTCGCTTCGGGTCGCGGTGGCAACAGCACGGAGTCGTGAAAGAAAGTCGACTCGCAGGACTCCGCAATATTTCACGTCAACGTACCGGCGCGGATCGCGCGGGAACTTCGAATTCGGCATTTGAAAATTGTTTTTTTACTTCACAAATACTGAACTTCCAAGTTTCGAATTTCGAGGTCTATGTCCCGGCATCGTTTTCAATCGTTTCGGATAATAAAAAAAAAATATATGATTTTGATGTGTCAGTGTCCCTTTAATCGCCTCAAGACCACTGACCTTGTGATCTTATGAAGCTTACTTGTAAAACATCATATTTATTGCTTTTTATTTTGTTGTTGTGACCTGGAAATTTGAAGTTTTTCTGATAAATCCGAACTAACGGCAAATTTAGCGGCGAGTGGTTATCGGATCCGAAAACGCGGAACCCTAGCCTCGCGAGAACCTTAGTTTAATCACAACAGCCCTCTCTAGGGTGACCACTCGTCCCGCGACTCGCGGTACTGTCCCGCTTTGAGGGCTCGTGTCCCACGTCCCGCGAAAAATTCCCAAATCTTCAAAATGTCCCGCATTTCAGTGTCATAAAATTCACTCTGCAACTCATGATGGTGCCGAACAAAGGGGCATGGGAAAGCGCGGAGGTCGCTGGTAAATGGTAAGGGTGTGCATAGCAATGGCACGCCATTTTCTATGCAGGTATTGCGAGTAGCGACCGTCGATAAAAGTAAGCGTTGACAGGAAGCACTAACCCGAAAAAGATTTACTGTTTATTATTCCCATCTGACGGATTGAGTTCTGCTACAGTAGATTAATTTTTATGTTTTCAACTTCGACACATTTAATACCATATTTGGCATATATGTATATATATATATTATATATATATATCACTGGGAGTGAAAATTATTTGTGCTTAATTGCTGCAATACAATTAGCAGGTAAATAAACAGCACAGGATATTAAATGTGTTAATAGACCCTCGGTTCGTGGTGTACATACTCGGCGACAACTTTCCTTAGCAATGCAATGGAGGGTACAGGCACGCGTCCCCTATCCCATTTTGAGCGCTGGATAAGGCTGTAAGCGGGCTTTCCTCAACTTCCACAGCATTCCCTAGAAAATTCGTCGCCGAAATAAATTTTCTCTACCCCCTCCCCCTCCTCTTCCCTGCCCCGCATGTCCCGCATTTCGCTAGCCCTCACTGTCACCATTGCCAGCATCTATGGGCAGCCTATTGGGGTGGTCTTCCCTCTCCAATTAACGTTTTCTTTCATTCCCCACTACTGCACAGTGTCATTCTTATTTTTCATTGGATGTTTCTGGTGCATGAGCAGCTCCCAATGCCCATAATCAACTGCTGCCACGAGGACGTTATTCGAGACCTCCCCAAGGACTTCGCACCTGAGCTGCGCAAACAGACCCAGTGGATCTGCCTCACATGCTACCAGGTGAGGCCGCCGTCATCGGCTCGACGTCTATGAGTGGTACGGTGCAACACCAAGCTTAATTGGACGAGTTTGCGCGACGCTAACTTCGCATAATTGCGAATTTCGGAGTGCTTCGAAATTTTGTTGCGAAGCTTTTCCTTTTGTATCAGGGTATTACTACAGATCACTTACATTCTGAACTTCTTAAATAGACATTGTAAATGCACCAATCTCCAGTTTATCGCGTTATTACAGTATGGCAGCCATTTCTGCGGCTGTACAGCGACTCGGAGACAATTTTGTCATTATCAATATGGCAGCCGACGCAACAATCAGACATAGTCAATCAAGCAGCAGCCAAAGTGCATCGACATGGCTCTAGTCTTGTCTTCGTGCAACTAAGCCAATCATGCTTCATTAATTGATTGGCTTCGTCGGATTGTGCGTTGGCTCAGGTCGGACTTGGGAAATGTGGCTGTAGTTACGAAAACGACAGTTCATATTACCTCGGTACTGTAGTACACCATTTGAAATCCAGGAATGTGCGTCTTTCAATGTTCTAGGTTTTCTCGGGCGACTTTGATTCCGTCGCCGAGCACGCCGACGGTACCCAGCACTTTCTGGCAGCGAACACCCAAAGCCTCAGAGTTTGGTGCAGTGCAGACAACCGCTATGCTCTGGTTGAGGTAACCGCATTAACAGTTTATTTCTTTTATTTAGGAACTGCAGGCCAGTGATGCGGCCCAAGCAGGAGTGGATGCTGTTTTTCTTCACATCATTCAGAAACTTTATGCATCAAAGGAAAAGGAGGGGCGATTAAAAACACATAAACCCCATAAAACACTTCAAAAAGCTGTTCAACTGATCGTAGAACGTTGTCCGAAGAAAAAATATGGGGAGGCAAGGAGTTCCAATCTGTTACACTTCTGGGGAAAAAGGAGTATTAATAAGCATTTGTGCAAGCGAATATGGGAGTTATTTTTTTTTTTTTTGTGTATGGTCATATGTAGGGGTGCGCGAATACCGAATAGTAGTTATCGAATCGAATACCGAATCGAACTAAGAAAAAAGAAGCCGAATACCGAATCGAATAGTGATTTTATTTGTAGCAAGTTTTGGTTTGGTGGAGTGCAGACAACCGCTATGCTCTGGTTGAGGCAACTACAATAACAGTTTAAAACCTGGCTTGCCACAAAAAAAAAAAAAAAGTACTTACTATGTTAATTATGTTGCGAACCACGGTGTAAAATGAAAATTGTGATCGTCAATTTAGTTTTTTTTTTTTTTTTTTAAATACGGGGAACTGTTTTAAAGCGAGACAGTTGCCAGCTTGTTTGCAAGTTGCGACCAAGTGCAGGGTTCATTATTAAAAACAGTGCAAATACACCATCTTCCCGAGGGGAACCATGGGGTGATGCGGAGCATCGCGGATCGTTATTAACGGTGTTATTGGGGATTTGTAGTAGACCGCTTCCGCAGCCCGCTAAGCACCCGGATAGCGCTCCGTAATCCGCCACGGGACCTTGAACTATAGAGACAAGGCTGGCGGCGCGCATGCGCAGCTGCGGCGTTTTCTTCACGGATACCGTAGCGGAGGAGAAAAACGGTCTACTACAATTCCCTACTAACGGTGCTAGTAACGTTGTTAGTAACGTTGTTAACTTGCGTTGGTTACCACACATCGCGTGAACGTTGTTGGAAACTCCGCGATGCTCCGCATCACCTTATGGTTCCCCTCGGGAAGATGGCGTAATTTTTTCACACTTGAAGGAGAGGAGACTAGAGGAGGAGAGTTGCGCGTGCGCGCACGGTGTGAGTAGAAGCGAACGCACGCGAAGTGCACGCAGCTGGTAGAGAGGGAGAGCGGAGAGTAACGCGCAGCTGTTGGAGAGAGGGAAGGAGGAGAGTTGCGCATGCGTAGTGCGAGTGCGGACTACGACGCCGCGGGGCATAGACCCGAGCAAGAGATGCTCCGCATCTAAAAGACGAGACAAAAGTAGGAGCACACAGGACAGACGCTGCCCTGTGCGCTCTTTTTACTTTTGTCCTCTCCACTTGTGCCGTTTATAATAATGTCATTTAACAACCAACCAGCCCAGCAATCCACCCTCCTGCAGGATTCATTTTGCGTAAAAAATGATGACCCACTATGCAGAGCTGTAAGATATCCTAATTAAGCTAACAAACATTTGCAAACAGCATGTAGTCAAAATGGCGGACGAAAGGGGGTCATTTCGTCGTTCAGCTACGATGGCTCAGCAGGCGGACCACCATAAAGTTTGTGCACTGCAGCAGGCGGACCACCATAAAGTTTGTGCACGTAAAATTGGTGTTACATAAGAAAGCAAAGCGATTTTTTGACGGTAGAAACCTTCTAGTCAGTGCATAAAAATAATTTCTGGAAACAAGGTTCCTATGCTGCCTAAGAGAAGCAAGCAGCAATAGCAGACGACAGAGCCGAAGTGACCTCCTCTCCCGAGCTTCTCGGCGTTGCCGCTACGTGATGTCGATTTCGCTAAACGCCAATAAATTAAAAAAAACCAAAAAGAGGATTTGATGTTGGATGTATATTTTCAGAGGGCGATTCCTGCGTTGGCATGGCTTGCAAAGAACCACCAAGGCTTTCCACAAAACGTGCACCCCAACACGCAGCTGTGAGGCCACGCCGCTGTCGGTACAGCACATGTGCAGACTCTTCACTTTGCTTCAACCTGGTTTTTGCGCATGCGCAGTGGCCACACCAGCTGTGGGCAAACGTGAACTTCTTAGTAAACAGCGCGCTTCAGATGAAAATTACTATTGCTGGAGCTTGAAGGAAATGATAAATACTAATATATTTGACTGGAAATGTAAGAATGGAAATGGAAATCAATAAAAGACAGAAAAAAAAAAAAAATCTCTGGTGTTGTGATTTAGAATAAAAATGAGCGACTGCTGAATTATTTTTTCTTCTAATATAAAAAACCATGCCTGCTTGGAGCAATTGGGATGGTGGAGCCCAGACGTTCACACGGGCACTTTCCCAAAATCCTCTTTTCCTTTTCCATTTTTTTTTTTTTTAAGGAAACAATTGTAAGTCCCTATTTCTACCCACCTACGACCCCTCGGCACAAACTCCTCGTCTCCCACCCTCCACACCAGGAAGGGAGGGTAAGTCGTAGAAAGGATGGAGGAAGCCAGTCGTTTCTTTTCCGTTTCTCCCAAGAAATAAAAAGGAGGTGGTGATGGTGTGTTGTACTGCCGAATGGGTACATGAAAGTGCTCGACACAAGACACTGTCCTCCTCAACTGCCACTTTCTCCTCCCACTTTCACAGCAACCTGGCGGCCTATTATTCGGGGGCGGAAAGCGCAGGCTTTTCCCCTATATACTGTCGAGACCGGTTATAAGGAGTATTCACTGGACGCCATGTGTGGGTGCTGTGTAGACCGCATGCTCAGAACCAACTCACATATCAAGGTTGCTAAGACCGGCAATCTTGATGGTGTGGAGTGCACGTTGCAAAAGAGCTGTGGAAGCTCGCCATGAGCACGCGCTCAGCAGTCGCGCACACGGCTATGGCCACCAGTGAATACCCCCTATAGACCTTTCCAATGTTTACAAATCCACAGCTCAGCGTGCGATCTCCACAGCTCAGCACGCGCGTGCGCGTCGCTTCGGAAAGCGAGCAAATCACGCGCGATACGCACGAACACTGAAAATGAGGCCGGCCAGCAGCCCTTTTCTGGAAAGGTCTATAGCAAAGTCAACGGGAATCTAAAATCACTTCGCTATATCCGCGTCTTGATTTTATATCTAAACTCCATAAAAAAAAAAATTAATAAAAAAAAAAAAGATTACACGAGATGTTATTAGGGTACATGTTTATCGTGCCTGCAGAAACCGGTCGAGGCTACCCTGCGTGTGATTTCTGCTATAGGAGCTTCTCCCCAACTGCGAGCAGCTACAATTGAAAGAAGATCCTGTGAGCTACATATACCGTACGGACCATGTCTACAGCTGCGACGACCGCCGTGGAGGACGCCGGCGGTGGACGACATCCTTTACCCTTTATGCACACTTCGTTGAGGACGGCGGCATGCTTGCACTTCAAGGAGATTGCCTTCGTCTTCCCGTCGAGGTGCTGGCGGAGCCAGGACTTGCCACGGTCGAGTGGCGATGAGCCGCCGAATCGTTGCTCGAGCAAAGCTAAACTTTTGCGCAGAGAGCGACCACATCGACTAGCCACGCCGACATGGAACACGGAACAAACGAAGAAGTGCGCGCGGAACCGAGTTTGCACTCAAGTTTGTGTTTCGTCGGTATATAAGCCCCGATTTAAGAGAGGGGCCCAACTGCTTGATCAGGGTAACGTGGTTTCCGGGACGCGTTTGCAAAACGAGTTGCAGCCTGCAAGGAGTCCAAAACGAACGTCTGCAAACGTGTCCGCCTCTCCGCCCGGTTTCCTCGCTACGCTGGCCACGAGGCAACAAATGCAAGCGCAGTGAAGTCCCGTTCAGCGGCGTTCACTCTCTTGCAACCGAGTACGACCGAGAGAGACCAGACCGTTTTTTAAACCTCTTGCGACCTGCAGCGCACCCGGTCCTAAGAGGTCGCAAGAGGCTTAAAAACCGGTCTGGTCTCTCGGTCGTACTCGGTCGCAAGAGTGTGAACGGGCCTTTACGCCAATTTGCTTAGGAGGCGTCCGCCATTAAATTGCAAATGATATCCACGGTTGGACTACATATCGGTACATCGTGGCTAGCACTCTGAACGCCCCCGTCGGCCCGCCACGACGGCTTCTCCGTGTGCGACACGGAAAAGCCACTTCCTGGGAGCGGGGAGCAGACGACGATGCAGAGGCTTCCGCCAGCGGCCTGTTCTGGGTGGCTGCCCGGCCGCGCCAGCAAAGTGCGGCGGTCTGCCAACTCAATAAACATTCCGAATTTGATTTTTTTTTTAATTATCAGAAACCTTTTCTTTGCCGTATCCGCGGAAGCCGCTCATTTTCCTTCGCTAAAAACAGACACAAATGTCTTAAAAAAGTGCAAACCGGAAGGAGAAATCGTGATCTCTTCGCTATAGCCGCTGTTTCTTTATAACCGACTTCGTTATAAATGGTCACAACAGTAGGAGGTTATGACACAGGCACAGAAACATAATGATCTGGGTATCAACTTATCTTTGCTTAGCGCAATAGGCTCTAAGAGACGTCAGTGTGCATACTTTTTCACATGGCCACTCAAAGAGCCAATCACTTATTTCTACATGGTAAACTCAACCAATAAAAAAACAAAACAAAAAATTAGAAGTTAAGCGATGCAACGTTGAGCGTGACAGAAGCAAGTGCAACGTCGCAGACTGAATTTTTTGGTTGAAATGTTTATTTTAGAACTTGTGATTCGCCATTGATTGTTGAGATAGGCAATCTCTGGGCTGTGCCGGGAAGTACTTGTGGCACTCATATATTTATCGGTCCTGTCAGTCGTTTACTAGGCTTTCGAGGAAGTGCATGGTTATGTATCAAACCGCAGACTTGCTAACTCCAAAATCAGTGTTGGGTACTACTTCAAGTAGGTTTAGGAAACTTCTACCTTACTTGAAGTACATTCTCTAAGTATGTACTTGTACTTTACTTAAAGTATTTTTTTCTGGTACTTTTCGAGGAAAGTACAATTCCCAACTTCAAAGTACATTCCCCAAATTTGGTTTTGTTAAATTAGTATCACAAAATGATGCTTTGTTCACTCCAAAGAAATATTGGATGGGATATTCTACTTTAACCAGAAACGTGAGTAGACGACGCATTGCTGCCTTTGTTCTGGGGGTGGCTTTCCCGTAGTTTGTTGAACTCTCTCCACTTCTCGGTCGGTCGGTGCGAGCGAAGAGGTTTAAGATAGTAGGCTAACAAAATTAATCATAATGAAGCACCCGAGACTCTGGTGCGGAAAAATTAAACTTTCGAGTCGAAGAAAAAGACAACAGAGGAGAACATCATAATGTTTTGAGACATTCTCTTTTGTCTTTTCCTTCGACTTGAAAGTTCCTCGACTTTTTCGCACCCGCCTCAGGTGTCACATTATGATTAATTATTATCAGCTCGCTTGCACACTCACTGTTTTTTTTTTCATTAAGGAGAGGACACTCCTCTATGAGATGATTGCTTGTGGAAGCTACAGGGCTGACGTCATGCTCTCTCCTAATACATTTACTTCCTTAGGTGCAACAACCCAGTGCAAGAAAATCACTATACAGTAATTTTCAGGAATTTGGCTCAATTCCTGAAAATAAGTACTCTGTGGCCACTTTATCAAATATTTGCCGCTGTTTTTGAAAATAGGTCAGGCAGCCCCGACTACCCCCGGGCAATGCATACCAGTTAAAAAATTACTGTATAGGGGAATTGAAGAGCATCATGAACAATTGTGTTAAAATACTTGTACTTTACTTTCAAAGTGCATTGCATTTAGAGTACTTTACCTCAAGTACATTGCACCCAGTGTACTTACTACTTTACTTGAAGTTCATCACATCTGCTTTACTTTGTACTTTACTTGAAGTACCTTTTAGATGTACTTTACCCACCACTGCTCAAAATGCTGGAAATACTAAGGGGGATGGCAAAATTGTAAAAATTGTTAACTAAATACTAAAATACAGTTTTATAACTCAATTAGTAAGGGATAAAGCCTGAGTGCCACTCAAAATATTTTGTACAATTCACTGCCTTTTCGCAACAAGCCCGCTGAATCCTTTTAAAAGTGTCTGTTCCAGACTTGCCAAGTTTGACGCAGAATTTATGTTCGCTCTTGTTCTGGTTTGCAGTCCCGGCTGAAATTGCCATTGTACTCCTGCACATGGTCATAAAAGATTGTGCAGCACAGCCCCAAATGGTCACAGAACGAAGCCCTTGGGCATAATGACACATGAGGGTTCCAGCCTTCTACTGCTGTTTGTGCATTACTATGCTGCTCTCTATTTTTACACTATTAAATTGGTCACGTAACTTTTTGAGCGCTCCTCATATAGAAGCTTTCGAGATGCACATTCAGACACTGAACTAAGTCAAAACAAATTATGTCAGGTGTATTCATGGTACACCTATTGTGTTCACAAAAAAAAGAAAAAAGGTTGCTCATATAATACAGCCTCTTTAGCAAGAAATTATGCCAGGGAAACACTTCTGAAGGAGCATATATTTACAACTGCCTCAGCTAAGCATGTTGAGCTTCCAGCTAAAGTTGTTTCGCAAAACTGGCGGCCTTCTCAGCGCTGGATCTGCAACGAAAAAAAAAAAAAAAAAAGATGAAGCAATTTTTGAGAAAGTAAGCGCTTCCAGGGGACAAAGTATGTTTAAAGACTACCGCCGAAAATTGGAAAAACAAATGGCAAGGCACAAAACATTTCCGATTACATAAAATTAAAAAAAAAAACCTATAAAGAAAGGAAATCTGTGATTTGATGCAAGCATCTTGAAATAAACAAATACTAAGCTCGCAGTGCAAGCACTTCTTTAAGGCAAATCTTAAATGACCAATCTAATATTAAATAAGAACTACTGGAGTAAAAGTAAAGTCAGTTTTTTTAGGGAAAACATTCACTGCATCCATACCCATAATATGTGAGCACCTCAAATCTCGGTAGAAATGTTATAGAAGAATACGTCAACTTTGGTTCACTAGATTCATACCAGCTATATCGGTCTTTATTGTGAAAAGGTTATACTTCAAGTGACATAGAGCTATAGGAACTTCCCATGCACAACGCATATTTTTTACTTATTTTGATAGCTTCTTTGGGAAACATTTAGTTTAAGCTAAATACCCCAAACTTTCAAGATACGTTCAGCAGCCCATATGCCCGTTTGTCTCAACACTCACCCGATATGACAGGCTGCACTATCAGCTGCCTCTGCACAGCTTCAGCAATCAACGTCGAGGAAGACTGCGGCCCAAGGGGCTGTTCAAAAAAGCGCCGAGTTGCATCAAGTTGACAAGACAACAGACTACTACTTGGCTCACACTAACAGACAATTAAACCAGGTGGAAAAATAATTCTTTTCCAAAAGCACAGCAATCTATAGACCGATACTTTTGCAGGGTAGAGACGACTAGAATGTGCAAGTTTGGCTTATATTCATATGAACAACATAAACATGCTCCCACCTTGTGCATCGACATCAATAGATTCAAATTTTGTGATGCCTCAATAGAATGAAAGTTATATTAGAATTTCAAAACTTACCAGGGAACTTTCGGCCGACTCTGGAGGCCAGACCTTGGGAATGTCTCGCTCGACTTCGGAGAGCAGGGCCGAAAATGATCGCTGAAGCGCCCTGGCGTCTTCGTCTGATCCAGCCATTACCAGTGCCTTCAGCAATGCTTTGCACTCATCTGCCATAAATTGGAAGGAAGCACAAAACTTTAGAGCAAGGCACCTAGACTTTATGTGGAATGCTCGGTGCAATATTTTTTACTGTAAAAAAGTTTTTAATTAAAAAAAAAAAAAAAAATTGCAAATAAAGTGATTATGGAATTACCACTGGATTAAATGACTGCTTTTAAAGTTCTGCAAGAGATCAGAAGTGTTATTCACACATTCCTTTTTCTTAGTTTACCTTCAGCAAGCAGCAGATTTAAAACCAGTAAACAAAAATAATTTGGTAGAAATGCAGCATGCACGAACTTCCCTGCTGTCAGGCAAACGAAAAGTGTAGCTTATGAAGACGCCTGCTTGGATGAAAAGCTGTGCAGCAGTCTGCCTTGCTTCATAAGCTTCCACCAAAAATTCTATTGTGCCAGAGACACATTTTGAGCCAGTTGTTTGACACATGAAGACGAAAATGGTGTTGTGTGTCTGTGTAGCAAGAAGTTAGCCAGCCTCAATGGGTGTCTGACGTCTCTGCTCCAGATGAGAAAGCTAGCCACTGCTACCCTAAGGTCTTTGACGCGCATCACGCAGTACTGGTACAGAAACACAAGCTGGTACAATGCTCGTCCTGATCGAAATGGGTGGGAGCGGGGATTGAACTCAGGATCCCTGGGTTCTGCAGCACTAGCCTTTGCGCTCCGAGCCGGAGTACACACCACGCTCAGCCACCAATATCTTTATAATGATTCTACGTACCTTGCAACTTGTCGACGGACGACACAAGTTCTCCGAGGGCAACGACCAGAGCAAGATCCTCGTAACGTGAGCCCTCTTTCAAGACATACTTCTTGCGCTCCTGCTTCTTCCTGTTCCTCGACGTTCGCATTGTTGCGATGGATCTAGAAGAGGAGGTAGGTAACGCTGAAACATAACTTCACTTTTACATCGTTCTGCTTTGGATGATACCCACCGTGTCGGTTCACTCTGACGTAGTGGCACCACCAGAATCAGCGATCCCCCCCCCCCCCTTTTTTCACTGCCCAGCTGCACCTCCCTGAGCGCTGCAACCGGGCAGTCTGCCCCCCTCGCCACCCCCCCCCCCCCCCTACCCCGCCCCCTTGTGATGCCACTGCACTGATGTAGTAATGCTACAATCGTTTGTAATAGTGTCAATAGAAAGAATTCTTGGAGCGACAGAATCACAAAGCTACCATAAAAATACTGCAGTGTAGCAATGTAACACTGCTGTGCAAGTGCTGTTGGAACACTTTAGCACTGTTGCAGCAATACAGTAATGCCTCATTACCTAGAACTCAGTTGTCTCAAGCATTGGTTACATCGAAAGATTTTCTCGCCATGGAATGAACTCCCATAGTCACAATGCGCTGACTCATCGCTTATCTTGAAAAGTTTTCAAAACCGACCTCGGATATTTCAAAATCTTGACAACAATTATTACCAAAAAAAATGAAAAACCCAGGCAGGACACAGCAAACAATGAACTGGTGCCCTAAAAATTGGTTGACAAAGAAACAGCAATGCAAAGACAAGCACAAAAAAAAAAAAATAATGTTCATTATTGCACGCGCGGTGCCGCTGTTTTTTTTTTTTTTCTTCCCCGTGCTCAACATGCTCTTGTCCTTTTCTTTCGTTATTTTCTTTTTGTAGCTTCTTTGTTTTTTTTTTTGTGTGTGTTTTTCCTTTCTGGTTTTGTCGTCTCATCCTACGAGTGTTGCTCATTAACAATTTTGTTGCGGTCGTTTTGTTCTCCCCAAAGCGCCGCCATGTGCAATGTGTGTCAAGTCAATTGGTCAGACTGTTGGAAGGGTTCCATTCACACAATGTGCGATCAATGCAATGAAAATTCAATACCTCGCATATCACAAATCTCCGCTTATCTCGAATTTTAAAGTGTTAGCATTAGAACGCTCGTTTTGATGAAAACCCGGCAGTATCTTTAGTCTGTCAGTGCCGGAAAAGAAGGAAAAAGGAGAGGGAGGGTGACGCGTGCGATGCTCCCATTGGTCCGAAGCGCCGACGTCAGCACCATGCATCAACCTCTCCCTCTCTCCCCAGCACTGACAAACTGACAGACACCATCAAGTTTTCATCATAACGAGCCCTTTCATTTTTGGCAAAGTCACGCACAGAGAAGGAGATGCCATGCAACACCTCCTAGATAACAAAGACGTAGTGCTGAATGAGATGGCTTAATCAGAGAAGGCCAACACTGGACACAAATTGGAATTGACGATTGTGTCAACGTGCAGCTCAAACTTGACTTGAAGTCGAGCGCTGACGCAGCACTCGTTTCAATCTGTGTCCAGCGTTGGCCTTCTCTGATTAAGCCATCTCACTCAGCACTACGGCTTTGTTATCTAGGAGGTGTCACGCTGCTGCGCGGTGGAATGTGGGCATTTTCAGTTGCCGCTCAACCGTCACCGGTTGTTCTTCGCTCTAGGTTTCAGTAGTAGTGGCGCGTGGGCTGTGATCTGTGTGTGTAGTTAATGATGGATGCGATTCACTCCACGAGCGATATGGATGCGGTTCCTTCCACGAGTGATATGGATGTGGTTCTTTGCACGAGTGATGTGGATGACTGTATCCAAGGGCATCGTTGTACTCCGACAGGCAGAGTACAGAAAAGGGGCAAAAAAATTACGGAAAGATCCATTGGTGGATTTTTAGGGAATCCGTTAGTATGACCGTTGGCAAACACCACACGTCACCTTTTTGGAAACCTTAACACGTACCCCGTAAAGAGGCCAAAATAAGAGGCAACAAAAATTAGATTAAGCAAAAAAGAAAGCCAAAAAAAAAAAATGAAGGGGTCAGCAATAGCGTTTTCCAAAGGGGAACATGCGTGGCGTTTCCAAGGGTCATGCTAACGCATTCCCTAAGAATCCACCAATGGATCTTCATGTAATTTTTTCTAGCTTTTAGGATTTTGAGGTAACAAGGGTTTACTGTATCTTGGAATTGCTGCAGAACCCTCAACATTGCTGCAGCAACACTTCAGCATTGCTGCAACAACATTTCAGCAATGTTGCAGCAGCAGCGCAAGCACTGTAGCAGCACTACAATAGATCCGTTTATGCATGGAAGTTCCTTCCATGCATAAACGAATCTATTGTAGTGCTGCTACAGTGCAACACCGAAGTGAAGGAGACCATTTTTAGAGACAAAAAGTGAAAGCCGTTTACAAATCCCTGTAACGCCGAATTGGAGCGCAGCTCTTGAGGAGGAGGAGGAGGGAAGGGTACTCAGGGGAGGGTAGACCCCTCCTCCTCCTCCTCCCCTCATTCTTTAATGTGCTCCGGGGGGGGGGGGGTCACGTGACCTCGGGGGGGGGGGGGGGGGGTGTCACGTGACTTCGGGGAGGGGGGTCACGTGACCTCGGGGAGGCGTGACCTGGGGGTCACGTGACCTTGGGTGTCACATGGGGGTCACCTCAAGGTCACGTGACCCCCACGTGACCTCAGGGGGTCACGTGACCTTGAGATGACCTTGGGAGGGGTCACGTGACCTTGGGGAGGAGACCACGTGACCTCGGGGGTCACGTGACCCTCAAAGGGTCACGTGACCTTGAGATGACCTTGGGAGGGGTCACGTGACCTCGAGGGGCCACGTGACCTTGAGATGACCTTGGGAGAGGTCACGTGACCTGGAGGGGTCACGTGACCTTGGGGGTTACGTGACCTTGTAATGACCTTGGTTACGCCGACGGCGACGCTGACGCCGCTCAAGCCGGGAACGGGCCCCTAAGAGCTGCGCTCTAAAAGATGATCTTACCCTGACAAAGAGGTGCCAGACTTTCCGGACTGACTTCCACTAAATGGTTTCGACGTCACGCTTGCAACATCCGAAAAGGCACCGTCGTCAACGTCGCCATCACCATCTTCACGGGCAAATCCAACAAACAAAAATGTTGATGTCAGTAAATGTAGAAACATGTTAACAAAACAAAAAAATATATTCTAGTCGAATTTGAGTGGAACACATAGAAACTAATTAAGATTCCAAGCATCACCTTGATCGACGGTCTTCTTGAGCTCGCGAACAATCATTAGACGCTGGACGTGCTTGGACCACGTCTGGAATAAGGAGTTGGCCGTTTCAGCCAGGGTTTCAAATTCGCTCTTCACCGCGGGCCTCCAGAGCCTATCCAACAAGTCTGGTGTCTTGAACTGATGAATCTGAAGTAGGAGGAAGTTGATGCATCGGTCAATTTAACAGTTATAAGTTGCCGGTGACGGCAAATCTGGGAGCTAACCATCAAAATTTCTGGAGCACAATGCTTTTGCTAGGCTAGCGTTTGCTCGAGAAATATATTACCTTCGCAAATGCGTCGTCCCAGAGGTGAGCATCGACCAAAATGCGGATGACCTCGTATTCGTCCTGAAACGAAAGGTCCAACACTCAGTTTGTACTGCTAAAAACTTGCACGTTAAGTACTACTACTAGTCCCAATTCATCTTGGAGTTTCATGAGCACTTACCTTCACAAAGCATTCACAGATTTCAGCAGCCTCCTTGTGACGCTTGGCAAGTAACATGGCATCTGCATAGAAAGGGGAGAGGGCAAGCCCCAAACAGAACAGGCCTTTCAAATTTGCCTCATTCACTTCTAAGAAGTAATTTAAGAAGAAAAATCTGCCTAGATGCATGACACGACTAATCCTTCAATTCTTGGCAACTCTACTGGACAGGGTCCACAGCATAAAAGGGGAAACATACCTATAGTTAGTTAATTAGTGCACTGTAGGCAACTTAAAGGTAAGCGGGTTTTCACGGAATAGTGCTACAACTTGGGTAACCACTCGTGTTAAGACAACCTGTCGGCCCTCGAAAGAAGCAGCACTGAAGGTTAGCAGGATGATGCTGTACGCTGCAGGGAGTGCAACACATAGGCTGAGTTAAGAGAAAGTGTCTTGTTGACATGACACCCAGGCACATGTGCTTTCCGTTTGGTGCATCTGCTCCGACCTCGACGTATGCTGGCTTGAACACCGTGCCAGAAAACTGTCTGTTTCAACGCGCTCACAAAACTGTTCTTGTCACCATTGAGGCACGAAACTAGGGTCAATGATGTAGCAGTGTTTAGGCAACACGCATAACGCAAGTGCCAAGTTCTACACTGCACGAGCCACTTAGGAAACGATTTCAAAAACAAGCATGTCTCCCATAAAGGAGCATGGAAAACCGGGCCCATGACAGGCAACCACTAGAAGATCATCGAAGAGTCATGTTCGTGCACCAAGGCGAGAAGAGGACTACACCTGGGAGCTGCGACGCGACCAGTGCCCACGTCTACATGGTATAGTACCTTACACCGTGACCGAAGCCCAACTCACCAACCGCCCTCCTGGCCAAGCTCTGCAGTTTGTCCTGGGCGTAGTCCAGCTGACGAGCAACGGACACAAGCAGGCTCCAGTTGAGGCAGAGCTCGAAGGCCGTCAGCGCCTTCTCCAGTTTCCCGCAGCGCTGGTACACCAGTCCGGCCTCCTCGTAGTGCTTCTTCTGGAGGAGGTAGTCCCCGTAGGTGCCCCACACCTCCTGCGGAAGGAAGCGGTCAACTTTTGGTGAGGGTTGTGACGTTAGCGAGATGTTAGACAGACAGACGCAAGCGTGCTCTTCCGTGCTTTGTGCCAGCACGGTGCAGTCAGCTTTGCATAGTTATATGCAGCTGAAAAGGTTACTTTCTAAAAGCAATTGAGTTACAGTCAAAAGACTTACAGTACAAAAAGACGTGACAGAAAAAGCAAGGAACACGCCACGGCACTGTGGTGTGTTCCTTTCCGTTTTGTATCTGCTCATTTTGCACCTTACGTCTTTTAACGGTGTTCCTCACCAATACACTCCAGCATCTATCTTAACAAGTCACAGTTACTTGAGCTAAAATGCAATTAAGCTGGCAACAATTACTCTCATCAATCTATCATTTACAGTCATGGTTACTCAGAAAAATAACTAAATAATGCTCTAATTATTTAAGGGTATCTCAGATGTTTCCAATGCAGAAATGATATTCGCACAGTTACTTCTTGATTTTTGCACCCTGCTCGCAACAGAGTCTAAGGTGGCGCTGATGCTACATCACTGTGAATTTGTGTGTTTTTCAACATATATTTGAGTTGTTGCTGTAAGTGAATTAGGTTGCAAGTTACTCTATACATGAAGTTACAGTTACTACAATTTCGTTGTAACTTGGAAAGCATTTAGTTACAGACATTGTAGCTCAATAAAATAAGAAAAATCAGCTCTACAAATGGGTTGCAAGCATGCCTCCTTTGTGATGGCTGTCGTTGGGACATTTCTAAGATTGATGCATAGCATTGGAATGCTTTAGAGCCTGCTTTCAATGGTGTGATTTGAAAAGTTACGGCACTTTAGTGGCTTTGATCAAGACATATAATCTAGTATACTCTACTGAATGAAACACAGAACACTTTCTACAAAGCAGCAATACTCTTCAATGAACAAACCTTATACTGATCTGAACCCTCTGGAAACAGGTACAGGGCAGATGTAAACAGTCTGTGAGACTTGATCAGGTTCAGGCACTCTTCAAAGTGTGATTCACCTGAGAGGGCAAGTGGGAAAATGTTTAGATAAACCATTAAGAAAAAGTAAAGAAATAGCAGACACAATACGGAAAACAGAGCAACCACTACATTAACTATCTAAGTATTACATGCAAGTTCAAGATCTCTATGTGGAACTCCAACGAATTGAGCAGAAATATTCTATTCATCAGACGATGAGGTTTTCAACTTTTCATGGCAGTTCCGTGGAGAAAATCGTATAGTAAACTCACAGAACTCTTATAAAACTCCCTGAAATCACTTAAGTTCCAATAGAGCTCTGCTTAAGAGGACCCTACATTGTGCCTGCACTGTTAACATGATGCATAGAAGGGAAAAAACACTCGCCACATAAGCTGATGTTTCTGAGAGCCTTTTCATGGCGTCCTAGGTGCAAGTCGATCTTGAAGCGGCGGTAATTAAGCTCCAGCTTGTTGAGTTCGTTGAGGAAGGGCACATACTCCTTGGGGTCCTGTTTGTAGAGCAACAGCATTGACGAACACAACCACTTTAGGTCACTGGCGTCGTTAAGGGAATGAACACCCTCAACAACTGCACAGGCATGGCAACTTCTTCGCAGGAAAGTGACTTTACCTTCTGAGACTTTTCGGCTACCATGAGGACAAGATCGAAGTTGTACGTTCCAAGGGCCACGTTGAAAAGGTCGTTGGTGTCAACAAGATAAAGGATGTATTTGAGCGCTTGATCTAACGTGGTCCCGTGTTCCTCTGCAACTCCTGAAAGAACCCCCATTGGGCGGCGCTCGTTACTTAAAGGAGTTATAATGCAAAAATTAAGCAAGTGAGGTGACTTAATATAAAATACTCATGGGATATTTAATGTACACTCCAACTTGAACAATGTTTAGCACTCCAGGAATTACGAAAATTCATTTTTTATTGTTTGCAACTTGGTTGGTGTCCGGACAACCCTGCTGGAACTTTGACGTGATATTTGAATGGTGACGCATGCTCAGACAGGAAATGATACTCAAAAACCGTGAGATGAAATCAAACAGTTAATGCTCTCATAGTTTACGCTCTCTGTTCATGCTTGCCACATCGCACCCAACTGCTACTCTCGCTTCCTACTACCACTGGGGACACAGGCTGATGTGGAGGCGAATAACATAACCAATGTTTTCAAACATGGCGGCCTTGCAGAAGACACAGGTTCGTGTTTCCCACGATTAGATTGAACTTATCCAGGAAGCTAACATATTTTTAAAAAGAAGTAACTACTAAATATAAAGTAGCATGCACCGGATCTCAGTGGCATACCAAAGAATACCGTGCATCCGCCCATTCCACACTAAGCGCCCACCCCCAAAATTTGAAACATCTGAAAAATATGCACAGTACATATTACCTATATGTAAAATTGATGACCTCACACGCGCCCATCCCCTATTTTTTCGCGATTACCTTCAAATTTTGAGTGGGCGCTTGCTTGGTATTTCACGGTAGTTACAGATTCTATTCTGTGAGTGGCATGACCCCTTTTAAAACATAGCATCTTCTGCTTAGTCACAATTCAGGCATGTTAAGTATTCACCCTCTTTTTAGTATTAAAAGTACTACAGTGGAATCCACTTATAACGATGATGAGAAAACCCGAAAATGCAATCATTATAACCAATTATCATTGTACCTGGACTAGAAACTGTGTTTTTCTAGTCTAGAAACTGATAATTATAAGTAGTATATCATTATATGTGGTATCATTATAAGTGGATTGAACCGCAGTAGTAAAACTTCACCATTCAGAAAAGTTCTGGATGTAGCAACAGTACAATTAGTGAAGCAACATTTCATATTCGACCATATAGAGGTATTCATGCCTGAATGAATCATTTGTAAGCAGACAACGGTACAACATTTGGGGATGAGCAGAATCACAGAAACGTTGCAGTTCCCTGAAAGACATTTATTGCAGCAGGTGGTCATTGTGACTTTTATAATTGTGTTGGCATTGCACAGTGTAATCCACTGACGACAACAACTCCATTTATAAAAAGAAATAACCATACTGCTGTTACATTAGACAAATTTTACGAAACAAAGAAACTTCCCAGGAAATTTCAACAGTGCATGCCCGCCGGAACTTGCAGTCATACCTTTCAGCTTGTGGATCTTAAACAAAGCCTGGTCCAATTCTGGCTCATTCTTCTTGGCATGGCAGGTCAGGATTGACAAGAGGAATCTGGATGATAAGGTTCTTAGATGCAGCACTGTACAACTAAGAAACCACAAAACTATTTTCTAATTAAGGCAATGAATAAAAAAAAAAAAAAGATCTCAATATTTATAGTTAAAGCCCCTAACTTTATGCAGTGCAAAAATTTGAAATTCTGCAAATTCAAACAGAGGAGTCTGCACAATTCTGTGGCAACATTGAACAGACATAAGGTACATGTAAACAGTTTATTTATGAAACAATTTCAGGCTCCAAACATGCTTGCATAATTTAAAACTGAAGGAAGCTGTTGGGGCTGAGCATCAGGTGATGCTTTGTACTCTCTCCACTACGGCTGAGCCCTTTGATTGGTGGCGGCTGCACCACCTAGCCATTTTTTTTTAAATTTATAAGGTTAGAATATTTAGATACAAAATTAAATTTCTTCAACAATAAAAGATGATGAGGCCATAGAAACCTTTTTGCCATTAACTAATAAGAAAATACTACTGTTCCGTCCCCTTTTGCCACATTTCACTTAATTTTTCATTTCGAGGACGTTTAGCGCCATTTTTTGGAAGCAATGGAGAAACAGCGTTTCTCCATAGCTTCCAAAAGCGACGTGTTTAACCTTTTTTTCGCATTTCCGCAAAAAAACTTTAATTCTGCAATTTTTCGCGGAATCGCGCAATTGCAGTAAGCTAGGGCCTCTATTTATAGTTACCTACTATTCAAGCTATGGATCCGCTGGTGTCGGCACATGGTTGTTTGAGTTTTAAACAAGAAGGCGAATGGAACATTGAAGGGTGCAACGCTACAGCTGAGGGTATCACCACTGCCAATACCGTCACTTCTACGGCTAGTGCCACCGAACGCTCCGAGAGTGTCGCATTCCATAGGCGTCTGCTTGAACTTAAAAATCTGACCAATTGAGCCATCCGATTAGCTGAGGGCGGCCATATTGATGCCGGGAGAAAAAGAGAAAGGTATGTAAAGCCACGTGGGAGCTCCAAACAGCTGTTGAATTACAACCGATCAGAGGTTGATATAATCATACTGACTTCTACTAGGCCTTTTAATGCCGACTAGCCTGTGGACTGGTCCATGATAGAAGAGCATTAGTACGTCTGCCCGCAAGTAAGCAGGCTCTGCCCACCCTAATTAGATTCAATTTCACAGCGTCGTTACTCTTAAACCATCGACTGTGACACAACAATGCAGTTCCACACTAAAGCTTAGGAGTTTCGGTACTTTCGGAAAATTCAGTGATTCATGCTACAGTAATAGAACTGCCGCCAAAGCATCACCAGTGAACACCCAGGGGCGACCTTGCAGATTTTCGGGTAGATGTTACAATGCAGATTATTACAACGTTAAAGGTGATATACAGCATGCCACATACAATTCTTAGGGTCTGAAATTATATCATGCCTTGTTAGCTCGCATGAAACCATTCCGAGTGATACGGGAGGAAGTGAAAATACCTGTCGTAGTCCAGTCGCTCCAAAACGTCCCTCAGGGCGTCGCAAACATGGTCGTTCTTGCTATGCTCAAAGCGAAACGGCTTCTTGGAGCGCGAACGATAGGCCGAGGCGTACAATGTGTTCGCCACATCCTGGTCCCTGCAGATCAAAAATAAAAACAAAATAAATATAATTACAATTTGCTAAAAACAATCTTTTTTTATCCCTTTATTTTTAGGTCGAAGTATCGAAACTTACGACAGTTCTGTCAGAAACAGGTTGATGTCAGTGGAGTTCCCGATTTGGCTGACAAATTCTTCCAAGTGCTCAAGAAAGGCCTGAAAAAAACCAAAAACAAAACCTGTTTGAAGTGTTGGCATATTTTTATAAAATTATTGTAACTGCGGGTCTGGATTAACAGAACAGATGTGAGAAACCTCATGCCGTTCCAGTGTGTAGATCAGGGGTGGCCAAGCTACGGCTCGCGAGCCGCATGCGGCTCTTCGCGTGGCAGAGTGCGGCTTGCGACTCCCTCCCCTACCCTCCCCCTCCCCCCCTCTCTCTCCCAGTCACGCGAGCACTTTACCAAAAAGAGAAACGGAACGCGTTTAAATCAAAAGACAGGTTGCGGTTTGGTAGTCTTGTGCTACTGCTACCTTACCTACACTTGGACTACTTTTGACTCGGATAGACTGAAAGTAGTTCGAGTTTTGTTTATTGCCCTAAACAAAATCCCCCCCCCCCCCCCCCCCCCCGTGGCTCTTGGAAGTTTCGTGGCTTTGTTTGCGGCTCTTAGGCCGGGTCATCCTGGCCACCCCTGGTCTAGATACTGCACAGTGGCTAGCGGTATGAGCTGGAATGTGCAAGCGGCAACCGAGTGTACAGCCCACGCAGTATAGCGGGCATAAATTAGGGTGAGGAAGATAAATCATTATAAAATAATATACCATACCTCTATCAGGACCGGATCGGTTGTGTATATTATTTTGTAATGGTTTATCTTCTTCACCCTAATTTATGCCCGCTATAGTGTGTGGGCTGTACTGCTTAGTCGTCGCTCCCACATTCCTGCTCATATTGCTAGCCACTGCATATTTATCTTTATACCATCTTTATTAAAGGGCAACTCCACTCAATTCCGAAAAATTTAGGCTTACATGGGATTCAAATTCACAAAGCACTACTAAACAACTCTACGTCTTCGGATTCGCGAAATGTGAAATATTATTTGTGTAATCTTTATATAAACATCAGCTGATACCAAAACCGAAACTTCGGTTGCGTCAGGCAACATTGGTCTCGGGTCGTCAGAGTCATGGCCACGTCACGTCGAACCATGTGGTCTTGTGACGTCCGGGAGGGAGCGAGGGACAGGACAAGCTACGCGGGCAGGTCGCTCCGCATGGCGTGGACGGTGATGGCCCGGGGGAGAGGGGGAAGGGGAGAAGACAAAAGAGGAGAAGGGGACCGGAGAAACAGACCGATAAGCGCGCAGGGCAGCGCAAACTAGCGCATCCGCGTTACGGTTATCACGTGAACGCCCGGTCAGCCAACACCGGGAGTAGAAACTCATGACGTCATCGTTCAATTTCGCTCTGAGAAGTAAAAACAAGCAAAACGTCAGAATGACGTAGTCATGCCTCTGACGTAGTGGCTCAACGTTTGCCGCTCAAACTCCGTCGCATTGACTGCGTTGACGATTGCGCCTCGCGTCGCGCGCTAGAGTTGGCAGATTTTGGCGACCTCACTTGAAGGTTTGCTGGCCAGTTTATTCAATATATAGACAGAATTAGATCGTAATATTTGACATGGGGTCTTCCTATATGATACCGAAGAGGGCTACATAGTTTTCTAAATATCAGAAATGAAGCGGAGTTGCCCTTTAAGTGAGAACATAAAATAAAAAGGAGACATTGGTGCTGCTTTAGTGGTGCCAGCTACTCAATTTAGAGTTTCATTATGCCCACCTGAAAGGATTAATTGTTGCTCATATCACCGAATAATAAAGCTTTTAAAACCACTTAAAGCTCAACAACGTGTCTTCCTAAAATTAGCACCCAAATTACCGTTAACACCACGTAATTTCTATGTCGATGTGAATAAAAAAATATGCAATTCGTTCATCAATATTTTAGCAACTAATCCATTCACATAGTTGAGCCGAGGGAGCGTCTTCACGAAGCCCCGCCGAGCACCAACATACCGCAGGGTCGTGATCGCAGAGCAGGTTCAAGTTGATGCGATGAACCTTCATCAACGAGAACGCCTTTTCGAACTCGATCCTGCAAGATTGAAGAAAACAACGATGCATTGTTTTAAATAAGACCCGCCACAAACGGAAGTTTTCGGTGTCACCTGTCGAGATGTTCGCAGATTCGGTCCAACACGAGGGCACGCGGGGATATCGTCTCGAGGTTCCCGCGCGGAAGTTGAAGAACGACGCGACCGTCTGCCAACACGCTTGTCACGAGCAGAGATCCACGCTCCAGCTGCCGCGGGGAGTCGTCCAGTGATGCAGAAGGGTTTCCGTTGAGAATGCCTGAGGGAAATTACGTTCGCATAAAAAAAGAATGAGCGTCGTGTGGTCCAGCTACCGTCATGCTTGGAAGTTCAATCACATCAGCGGCAACAACTGCACAATACAAGAAGCAGTAACCAGCATGATCGTAACGACGACTATAAATTTCATTATACCTAACTGCAAAAGCCCAATCCCAATTCTCGTGTTGTGTAGTTCCGCTACGAATAATTGAGATCACAGTGGTGAACAAATTCGCTGAACTTTCTTTAGTATCGAGCAGGGGTTTTAAAACTTTTTAATCTTAAGGAACCCCTCACAGTCTCGACATTGATGTAATAAAGCAGGACAGGGGCCTAGATTCCTAGTAAACAGTAATGCACATACTAGCGAGCACTTGGCTCATAGTTTAGCATCGATAGGCGGTACAGGTCTGCTAGCATTAGTGCTTAAACTTAACAAACGCTTTACTTGGGGGCAGGGACGGTCAAGCAAATTTGGGAGCTTGGGGAATTCGTGAGAGTGTTCTGGGAAATCCCCGTGTTCCCAGGAACCCAGTTTGGGGACCCAAGGTTTAGAGGGCCAACCGTCGAAAGCAACGTCGCAAAGCGTCCACTCACTTGGTAGGTCATGATCGAGCAGGAGGCAGCGTAAAGTGTGTGCGTGCGTCGTCAGGAGCAAGAACTTTCCGTGGACTCGGAACGAGGTGCAGTTGTCGCAGATCCTCCACTCGTCGCAGAAGAGCTCAAAGCGGTCGGACAATCCCAAGACCCTTGGCTGCGGTGAAAAACATTGTAAGGAGACTTGTTACCCATCATAGTCCTAAGGTAGAAGATCTTAAAGGGACACTGACAGGGCATTTATGCTCGCCAAGGTTTTTATTTGTATGTGACATATGAGAGTTCAACTAACCAGTAAACTATTCGCGGCTCGACATTTGTTTTCTTTCTGCCCGAAAACCGCCGATTGAGAACTGGCCGGTTTGAGTTGAACTCACTCTCTTCTCCGTGGTCATGTGCCATTTTTTATGGTTTAGACACAAACACCAAACATAATCAAAGTCGTGGGTCATTGAAGGCACACACACAATATTAAAAATAGAAAAAAATATGATACCCCTTTTTGTGGCTTCTAAAGAGCTCCAGATATGTTGATTGGAAAGAAAAAGTTGCACAGCCACATGACTTATGCCAACTCTCTCCTCATCTATATTTCTTATTCCTCCCCAGCCCAGTTTTGGTTTCAGTTTTGAGCAGTTGCATTTTTTTTACATTATTAAAGATATATGTGACGCTGTAGAAAAATAGTGATTTGGTAGTCTTCCGACACCTTAAAAAATCTCCTGGCAAAAAAATTAAAAAAAGATTTGGGGGGGTGTCAGTGTCCCTTTAAAGACAATGCAGAGAAGTCTCATCGTTGATCACCTGCTTCAGAACTTCGCACACCAAGACAGTCCTGCACGGCTTCGGCAGTTCCAATTGGATGCCATCTGAGCGCAGCCACGGTTCGAGAGTTCCAGCTTGGAAGGAACGAAGATGCCTCAAGTTAGAATTAGAAAAACATCACAAAAAAGTAATGTTTTATACCCGAATGCAGCATGGCCATAGATTGAAAAACCAGAAAATACACACATGCAAATACATACCTTTCTGTGGGAAAAATTATTAGTAATTTCTAGTACATCACAAGGTCTGTCAGCTACTTGTCACCATCGTCATATTCCTATATAATTTGTGACGACAGCCCCACTGCTTAAAAAGAATCAAGAGGATCGTCAGTCACCAGTGGTTTGGCCGTAAACTGAACAGACACTTTAAAGGGCAACTCCGCTTCATTTTTGATATTTAGAAAACTATGTAGCCCTCTTCAGTATCATATAGGAAGACCCCATGTCAAATATTACGATCTAATTCCGTCTATATATTTAATAAACTGGCCAGCGAACCTTCAAGCGAGCCAAGTCGCCGAAATCTGCCAACTCTAGCGTGCGGCGCGAGGCGCAATCATCAGCGCAGTCAATGCCACGGAGTTGGAGCGGCCAACGTTGAACCACTACGTCAGAGGCATGCATACTTCATTCTCACGTTTTGCTTGTTTTTACTTTTCAGAGCGAAATTTAACGATGACGTCATGAGTTTCTCCTCCCGGTGTTGGCTGACCGGGCGTTCACGTGATCACCGCTGCCCTGCGCGCTTATCGGTCTGTTTCTCCGCTCCCCTTCTCCTCTTTCGTCCTCTCCCCTTCCCCCTCTCCCCCGGGCCATCACCGTCCACGCCATGCGAAGCGACCTGCCCGCGTCCAAAAAAAAAAAAAAAAGAAAAGACCTGCCCGCGTCGCGTGTCCTGTTTCTCGCTCCCTCCCGAACGTCACAAGACCACGTGGTTCGACGTGAGGTGCCCATGACTGTGACGACCCGAGACCAATGTTGCCTGACGCAACCGAAGTTTCGGTTTCGGTATCTGCTGATGTTTAAATTAGGATTACACAAATATTATTCCACATTTCGCGAATCCGAAGACGTAGAGTTGTTGAGTATTACTTTGTGAATGTGAATCACATGGAAGCCTAAATTTTTCGAAATTGAGCGGAGTTGCCCTTTAAAACATACGCTTTTCTTTTGTAAACAATGGGCTCGGGACCCGAGAGGGGTTATCATGTCTTTTACACGACATGACAGTTGGTTTCAAGCACAGTCGGTAGATAGTCTGAACTCACTGCTTGGAAAGCATCAACACCGATTGTAGCGCTGCGTTGAAAAGCTTCTACGGGTTCGTGGCCCCCTAAACTCAAGCCTAAAATTCCCATTATCTAACTTGAAAGTTTTAATAAGAACTGAATATGACACCAAAATTAATAACACGAAACTAGAAAAACAGACTTGTACCTTCGGACAAGCTGGCACAGCGGCCATCTTGGAACTGCAGGCACACCACACTGCCATCCGGGCTCGCTGATACAGTCCGCACCGAATCCTCGAGAGGGGACACAATGCTGAAACAGGAGTGCACAAAGGTTGGTGACATCTTTATTTCCAAAAGTTCGAAAATTACTGTACAAGGGAGCATAACAATAAAAAATGTAAGATTTGAACACACTCCAAGTGACCAAAATGACACCCCAACTACCCTTCACCTTTACAGGTCTTCAATCATACGCATACCGTAAAATCCCGTGAGGACGCCCACCCAAAATAAAGAGAAAAGCAATAAAAAACATAGGGTGGGGTATCTTTAAAGATGCGAGATTCAAAAAATTTATAAAAAAAAAAGTGATAAAACACTGAGCCATCTGCTACAAACAACGTGAAATGGGAACTGATGCCGCCGGTCGTGGACCCGGCAACTTTGCGTTGCACGATGCGATAAACACGCGGTCGTTTGCTACAAACTCTCGTGTTACGGTAAAAGATATCGCGGATTGCGGGCGCCGCAGTTTCACTTTACACAGTGCGAAGGACACGCGGGAACCTGCCGCAAACTCGCATGTCATGGCAACCGATACCGCAAATCGCAGATGCAGCAGATTTGCGCTTCACGACGCAATAAACATGCGGGGACAACTCGCATGTCATGGGAACCAACGATACAGCATGCACGGATCGCAAACAAAAAACGAAAGAACCCACTACGAACTCACGTGCTACGGGAGCGAATACGGCAGATTGCGGATGCAGCAGATTCGCATTTCACGATGCAATTAGCATGTGGGATCCACTCACGTGTCACATGAACCAATATTGCGTGCGCACATAGCGGTACCACAGATAGCACAATTGATGCGATTCCCGTCGAACATTGTATGATGTCCGACGGGATAGGATGTCCGAGGGGAATCACATCAACCACACAATCTGCGATACCGCTACGTGCGACGAGAGTTTGTAGCGGGTTCATGCGTTTTTGCCGTTGGACGGTGTGTCCGACAGGAAATAGGGGATGGGCAATGTTTTGTAATTTTTCTGTTTAGTATTTAGTTAGAGAAACGGGATGGGCAATCTCTCGGGGGAGGGTGCGCTTACAGGAGTTATCCTCTTCTCATTGGTTTAAGACTAAAAGTAGTACGCTCCAACTCCATCTGACTCGTTCTTAAGAATTTTGCAACCATTTATACACCGTACGACCAACTTGATTTGTGTTTCTCTTAACCCTTTGCCTACTGCAATAATTTAAAAAAAAAAAATCCAAATATACCGATTTTTAAAATTTTACCTTTTTACATTGGATGTCAATGACAACCGATGTAAAAGAAGTTCAAGCTAGCGCAAACAGTCTGCATCACCTGCTATGTCAACGTTCATGCCCGGCACAGCACTGAATTGAAAATGCGGAGGTGCAGGGGGAAGCTTCTCCACGTTGAGTCTTATCCCCGACACACCGACGCAATGTCCTCATCAGAATCCGAGTCGTCGGAGCTAAAGTAAACAACTCAGTGGCCTCACTGTCACTGTCGGATGAAAGGTTTATGTCCCTGCCGTCCAAATTGGAAAACATGTCGTGAAACCTTCGTTTTCCCTGCATTTTTGTTGCACACTTGCCACAAGGAACACCACGTCCAAAAGTGAACGCCGCCTTTTTTTAAAGCTGGTTGCTAGCGTTGAACCGGTTTTCAGCCAACTCTAGAAATTTATCAAATCTTTTGCATCGTCTTTTGATGGCACGCAACGCTAAACACACGTCGACTAGCCCAGATCGTCTTTGGTAAGGGACATGCGTTTTATTCAGCGTGGATGAGGCCAGCTCGTCTTCAGGAGTACTAGTAGTCATACAGTGTAGAGGAACCCACCTCATCCATGGTAGAGAAAGGGTTAAGGGTGTTTTACAACTGTTTAACTGCATCAAAACGCCGGATCTTTTGCTATAATATTGTACATTGCTATTTGTAGTTCTCTTCTTCGTGTCTGTGTAACTATTATACAATTCCTTGGTATTCTAATGAATATTGTGTTTAGTGTCCTATGTCACAACTATTGCATATTGCCATCAGCAGATCTAGCATTCTCCTTAGTCTTCAGCCCTGTGTGAATACGCCAAAGTTCCTACGCTTTTTGATTTACCTATGCCTGGCGAGTTCTCTGGGTTACAATTTTTTTGTAATGTCATAATTAGCAATATACCGTAATATCCCGAGTCATCGCCCATCCCCGAGCCATCGCCCACCCCATGTTTTGGGCCAATATCGATTTCCGAAAAAACACCGAGTCATCGCCCACCCCTTCAAATACCCCAGCGCGGACTCTGCGATCCGAGAACACTCATCCTACCCGAATGACGCGGCCGCGGACCTTACAGTTGGATGACGTCCGTGACAAAGTAAAACGAAGGGGGGAAAGACACTTCTTTTTGTTTACGCATTTCCTCCGTGAGCGACCCCAAAGTGGTCGTGTATCCGTGCGAAAAGAAAACGATGGAGATAACAAAATAAGAGTTTGTTAATGTAACCGCAGAGTGTTAGGTCAAAGTCTGTCTCCGCCGAAGTAAGGTCACCGCGAACCCGCTCCTTCTTCCCGCCCGTCGCGACCGCGGTTGTGCAATATTTTGGTTAAAGCCAACGCGTAAATAAAGCTTTGCTGGAACGCCCTACACAGACGTTTGCAGAGCGTCCCAACCGTGCATTGATAGCCTGCCGTGCACGGACGCATGTATGTACGCACCAAACAAGAAAGTTGCGCAAGAGCTTGCGATTGACAAGGCGCTCGACTTGGCCCGACGCCAAAGTATTTGCCAATGTGACCGGCGGCTTTCCCGCTTTCCCAGCATTGCTCTTGGTCGCTTCTTTGGTCCGCTCGCTCGCTCGCTCGCTCGTTGCGCCTGGTCGGTGTCTCTATTTTCTTGTAGACTTTTCTTTTCTTTACTAACTAGGAGAACATAGTGGTGACATTCTTTCACGGAACAAACGTTCGCGCTATATGCAGATCGGCGGTGTTTCTAGCGCGTATGCAAGCAACGGACTTCGCTATAGTAAAATATTCTTTCGTGAGCATTTTTTTCGATAAAACAATGAAACTAAATCGAGTTTTGAGTTTGATGTATCTCTTGTTCATCAGCGCTAGATACGCAGAGAAAAAATGGTTTTTTCCGCTTTTTTTCAAGTTTGTGCTCACCCACCGAGACATGGCCCACCCCACTTTTTTAATGAATTTCAGGCGGAAGGGGGGTGGGCGATGACTCGGGATAATACGGTAGTATTACATTTAAAAGTAAAATATATATGTATTCGACCACCTTACATTTCATTTTTAGTTTTTGCTCTAGTTTAAATTTCTGCATTTAAATGTTTATTTATTTACTATTTTCACATTTATGTCGTCTTAAATAGTTTCCAGACTTCAAAACTGCCACATGTCCCCAATCCGGGGCCTTAGCCGAAAAGTTTGGCAACCCCTGCTCTAACTCAATCTCTCTTATTAATAATGTTTTATAACTCGATTTATAAACTGTTGCAATAGCAAACAGTTACAGTAGCAAACTGTCGTAACAGCAAACTGTTGAGAAAGAGTAAGCTGTCCACAAAGTGACTGTGTTTACTGCTGGAACAACTCATCACACTTAAAACAGTTAATAAACTTTCCATTCCACTTATAACAAGTTAAACTTGTTCCAACAGTTGTCCGTTTCAGAGAATGCAGTTATTTCCACCGCTCCAGGCTCCTTCACTTTGGGTCTCGAGACTTGCAAGCAGACTCTCACCTCGCAATAAGTCGAGTCTTCCCTTCCCCGTGAACGACGTCGACCCTTGCGAGCTGGTGGACGTTGTCCTCCAACGTGCAGATGCAAAGAATCTGGTCCTCGGAAACCCACGTCCAATGGTGGCACCAGAAGGGATGATGGGCAGGTCGAAACTCCTCCCCAAATTCGATTCTGCAAACAGAGGCGGCACCAGGCTCCTGCTGGGTCGGGATCCAAGATGGCAGGTGCACAAAACCGTCCCCAGTCGTATAACTAAAGCCAAGTAGAACAGTCGGTGCGGACTATTGCCCTGCCCTGTCTTGCCCAAACGCTGTTCTTCATATTGGCACCATATTATAGCTCCTGCTACAAGGCAGCTTGCTGCTAGCCCATGTTTTGCAACCATGCTCGGAGGAAACGAAGCACTGATTGTAGTGTATGTAGATAACCTCAAAGATCTACTTTATGGACATGTGCCTATACTATGGCAGTGCCCCCTTTGATCCTCTCCCATGGTCTACTGACACTGATGCGGGCTCGGGGCAGCGTGCTTAAAAATTGGTGCCTGAGTTGTAACTACTCTCATCCTGCGGTCTTGATTCACAGTCAACACTATTGAGGAAGTGACTAACTTGGAAGAATTCCTCGTGACTTTTACGGTTTTTTTTACAGCACTGCAAGGGCTTAATTAAGGGAAGTGCAACTTTTATTCATCTTAATGGTCCAACCTGTAAGGCCCGTAGCAGCTTGGAATGGGCGACGTTGTTCTGAATCCGTTGCCTGCGCCGGGGCCGTCAAGTTCCACTTTGCAGTTTGGGGTCTCCCCTTCTGGTTGCACAAAACGCCCTGTCATAACAAAGTACACGTCCTGCATCAAACTGATTGACAGAATTGCATAAATGATGAGATCAGAATCCGGAACCCAGTGGAGATGCCGCAAGCTATGCGGGATGAACAATTGCATTCTTTCCTGAATAAAGCAAAACGAGTAAATCAGCTTTTCAATGGCAGATGTCATTTCCTGCGAGGGATGATTTGCAGTATTGTTGAGACGTTAAAAACTGTGAAGATACTGGTTTGGATGTTCCCTCAGGTGATACTGGTTAGTACTAGTATCGTACCTCATGCGACTATTGGCGGTCAAGATATGTTTCAGAGGAAACTACTATAGTCAGCTATTTACAGGAAAAGACATTTCACAGTAGCAACTTGAGAATGTAATCAGGTTCTTCGTAATTGTAGTTGCACGCGAGGATGACTTAGATAAGTTGGACCAACATTAAAAAGACACAGAGGCCATGTTTAAAACAATCAGATTATTAGACACTTCCAAAACAAAACAGAACAAAGAAGTGAGAAAAAGTTACAAAAAACTAGAAATGAGAAAATAAACATGGTATGTATGCTCACGTGTAGTATGATCTAACTTCCTTCTTCAAGAGCAATACAATTCTTCCAAAACGACAGGATTATTAACCAAGCACGCAAAAGAAGAGACAAAAGTTGCAAAAAAATATAGTAAATTTAAAAAAAAAAATTTTAAGAAAGAGTATGTTTTAAGACTGCTTATGTGTAGGAATGCAAAAGCATTCCTACACGCAGCGCATTCTTACAAGCAGCACGCCACATCTTCCTTTCGCACAAAGCGCTCCGGCGGTGACATCACGCTCCCCCACTGCGCAGGCGCGGCAAACCCCGCCGGCCTCATGACGGCTTCTGCGACAAGACATCTGCGTAGCTGTGCTTTTCTTTTTGTTTTATTTCTGAGGCGCATCCACTTTGAACTTAAGCGCCCCGTCGGCTACCGCGATGAAGCATCTGTGTGGCTGTGCTTTTCTTTTTGTTTTAATTCTGAGGCGCGTGCTTGATGAAATAGTTTTATGACCATCCTTTGGGGACAACGCGGACGGCTTTTCGTGTAATGGGACAAGTAAAGCTTTCGCCTTAAAAGTTGCAAGGAGAGCTAAAGGCTGCTTCACACACTTGCAACTGCTTACGAAAGAGTACTTTGTGATCCCATATGACGAGAAAAAACATTTTTGTGAAAAATTCTTTTCTTATTGGCTCGAAAAAACTTCTGATGATGTTATAAACTAACGTTTCTCATAGATAGTGCATACATTTAATCTCGCAAATACTGCAAAACCTTCGCTTGAGTGAAATACAGTTCCAGAGCCACCTGGTAGCTGGCGCCAGCATGCCAGTGTACACTCCCTCCTCATAAGAGACCACAAGAACTCGGTAGTAAGCAAACACAAGTGTGTAAACATTACAATCACAAACATAGTGCACGACAGATGAGACAAAATTTGCAAAGGAAGTTTAGCTGCAAAAGTGGTTCGTAAATAAAACGGGGTACAAACAGAAAGCAGCGCGAGTCAAGGGAAAAGAAATGACGTACCTCCGTCGTGCAGAACGAAGAGGATGCGCTTGCCGTTCTGCAGGACTACGAAAAACTCGTCGCGACGTCGCTTGACGCCGAAAGCGACCTGGTCCACCGAAACTCCCGTCCTGACTTTGTAACAACACATTGGCGGCGGGACGACGGTCGTCCTGAATGGCGTTGTCAAAACACGGTCTGCCAAAACAAGATGGGACAGATGATCAGTGGGGAATATTAAGGGGCCCAATGGCCAGAAACCGAATTACTACTTCACAGTGCAGAAACGTTTAGTAAGATAGAAAACCAACTAGCCCAAGGTGCGGTGTTAACAAAAACGAAAGTTTTTCTTTACTCGCCGATTTCCGTTGGCTACAAGGCACACAACCCTTTGAAAGAATCTACTTTAATGGTTCATCTCGGCGCCTTTCAGCGCAGAATGTCTTTAATGGGTTTAGTTTTTCAATAATTGTCACGAATGAGCGTCATGAACGATCCTCATGGATGAGTGTTACATGATGTTAGTTTTTTATATATAAACATAAATCTAAAAAACATAAAAATAAAATAAACCTCAGCATGTGGTTTGTGCGGGACATACTTTGTGCTCCCTTGTCTTTGTCAGCATGATCAAGCTTGTGTAAAGTCTAATTGTTGCTATCTTTTTTTTTTTCTTTTGTAAAGTAGAAGTTTTGTATGGTAAAAACTGATACAACAAAGATATTGATATAGTAGGGAAAAGTTTAAAGTAAACTTGCAATGCTCGTACGAGTGGCTGGCCATTACTGATGTTGGAAACCATGTGGCCTGCGAACCATACACTGCATGTTTATGTGAAGCTGATTTAGCATAACTGGAGAATTTGACAAAGAATATGTTAAGGGCTAGGGTTTCATAAAATAATTATATTAAGAAAAGTGTTATAGAAAAATGTAACATGCTAACTTTAGCGAAAAAACCCCAAAGTGGCACATAATTACAGACAGATTCAATATGCTCATCAAGTTTAACAGGAAAATGCCTCCCAGGACGCAAGTCTGGTCAACTGAGCAAAACTTAGGATCACTCCCAAGCTCAGAAAAGCTCACAAGTAAAAACCTACAGCAGCCCAAAACACGCTGTAGAATCTGTGAATTCTAACTTAAGTAGTAGAATTAAGGTATGTTTAAATTTTTTATGAGCAGCTCACCCGCATCGATAACCGCGACGACGGCTGCACCCTCTGAAGTGACCGAGGGACCGGCATGGACTGCGTGGGACCACGTGTACCGGTAATAAGAACCGCTCGTGCAGAGCACGTGCAGTCGAAGTGCGCTGCCTTCGTCCCAGGCAACGGCGGCCAGTTTTTGGCCCAGAGCGCCGTCGTACTCCAGCGTCTGCTTGAGGTACCAGTGGTAGTTGTTCACGGTGTACAACAACACTGAAACGTGGAGATAAAAAAAAAATTTTCAGTTTTATTTTGACTTTTTGATCAAAACTTGATACGCGAAACTGTGTTTTTATTTATTTATATATTTCAATATCCTGAGAGCCTGGAGGTATTACAGAGGGAAGAGGGGAGGGGCAATAAACAAAAACTATGGGATATAAACGAGTCTAGTACAAAAATGCAGAAAAACATGAGCAGTCAAGTCAAGGATTAACAAAAAAAGATTGGTTATCACAATTAACCGAACACTGACAGAGAGAGACACTAAAGATTCGGGAAGGTGGCTTCATTCGGATGACGTTTTGGAAAGGAAGGAGTCGATGTGGACATCAGTGTAACAGGGATGAATTACGACTTTGAATGAATGGCCAATGCGAGGGGAGATACACGAAGGAAGAAGAAGCTTATCTATTAGAGGAGGGTTAGAGCGAAAAAAGTTTTATAAAGGACGCAGCGGACGGGTGCTAACTCCAGTTCCGGGCATGCAATGCAGTGAATCAGCGTCGCCACATACTCCTTTCGTACTGTTTCTTTTTTCTTGTTGTTTTCAAAAAACCTTTGCAGCTGGCCAACTAAGGCCAACCCTCTTCGAATTTGGCACACTTTATTCACTTTTTTTCAAGATTAAATCAAAGCTGGCTTCAGGAAGAATGCAATTTTGCGGAGATTGAATATGAACCCGATGCATTTTTTTAGAGCTGCCTAAACTGGAGCTGACGGGAGCAAACTTTACCCATGTCTTTTGGGAGGACGGCACAGTCGTCGGTTTGGAACGTAGAACCCACCACGGCAAGAACCGACGAATCGGTACTCCATGAAAGTTCCTTCACCTGGAAAGCGAGATAATTTAACTTGATTGAGTTTTGTTTGTGACCGTGAGCCCATAATACAGGAACAAGAGGCACGAACGGAAAGGCAACAGGTGTAGTGCAGATCGTTAGCCAAGTTGGTACTGGGTCTTCAAGAGCATAACAGTGCTTGAGACAAGGACAAAGGTGGAGACTAGACAAGTCAGGTAAACTGGACAAGTCAGCGCTCTATGTTGTCAAGTCTCCTCATCCTTTGTCCTCGTCTCAAGTACTACTATGTTTCTGATAACAGATGTAGGCTCGACAAGACAAATGGCCTAATATATCAAAACCAAAAATTCACTCCTGCCTAAAAAAAAAGAATGTATTCATTTATTTGGAAAAAATAAATAAATATGGTAATGTTTTCATAAAAAAAATAGATGCCTACTTATTCACATTACATTAAAAGAGAAAGAGAGAGAGGCAACATCTTGATGGCATTTGAGAAATGAGGCTTGTATGCACAAATGGCAGTAATCAAACAATTAAAGAGTGTACAAAAATGGTCAGGCAAAAGGTGGGTATGCCACATGCATGTCAAGAAAAGGACAATAATCAACCCTACTCATTCAGCACACATGGTTTGGCCTCTTAGCTTCGTAGAACAACCAGCATCAAAAATAGAAAAAATTTTGTTCTCGATCTAACTGACAGTCGAGGGCCTTGGGGACCCCAAGAAAGCCTTCAAGGATCCCGAAGGGTTCGCGGACCCCCCTTTGAGAACCACTAACCTAGACTGTAGTTTGCATGAGGCATACTTCGCATAGTGCAACATATCAGCTGCGGTCGGAAAGATGGAGAATCTCTCTACTTGAATGGCGCCGTTGGAAAGGAAAGAAACAGACGGGCCCAGCAAACTAAAGCAACAAACCTCAAATTCTCGAGGAGCAAAGGGCAGCTGAAACTCGCCGTGGTTCAAGCCATTCTTTTCAAAAAAGATTATCTTGTGCTTGTTTGGAAGGTGCTGGCTGGATGCAATCAAACTCCCAGATGGCCTGAAAGCAAAACGGTATTCGGCTCAAAATATTGCACGGCTCAAACTTTCATTCAAACTCGTGAATGAAGGGACCATGAAATCTAAACTAGCAGCAGGAAAACATATTATCCTCCTCTCTCTAATGAGACTACATAATCAAAACATCATTGTAACGTTAAGCGAAGTCGTCACGATTAGAAGCTTCATTCACGCTTTCTTACAGAAAACCAGCACATGGAAGCAAATGCAGATACCTCTTTTATGCTTGTTCCTTTAAAAATCTGAGTGCTTCTTTTTGGGGAACTGAGTACTACAAAAATCTATGCAATGCCATGAATTTGTGGGTCCTTGGATTTTAATAGTTCGTAACTCAATACTGTTGTACTGCAGTTGTGAGTATGAACTCACTTCCAGCTAAGGGCTTGCTCCAGTCCGTTGATGTCTTCACCGGTGTACTGAAGTGCACCCTCCCTGCTCCAGATGCGTAGTTTACGGTTACCTGAAACACAAACCCAATGAAGCATTTAAGGACTTTATACCACTAGTGCCCCGATTTGATTGCAGCATCCTTTGACAGTTTTAACAATGTTCCATATCAAAAGGTTTTCCCATGCTTCGTGCAACTGTTCCTTACCGCTGCTACACGTAATTGACTGAAACATCCAGGGCCCCCAAATGTCGACGAGTCCTTTAATAACATTTGTCCTTACGTTTCGCACCTTTTCCCTGCGGGTGTTTTGCACACTGGTCTATGCTAAAGGTCCACAAACAAAGATAGGATGCTTTTTTACCCATCTATTCCCAAATCATAACGGCAACAATGTCCCCTGCCTATGTGAGCCCAAATGTCTCACTACAATATCAAGTAAAAGCCTGCACGCCAAGGTGTGAATGACCACCGGTGACAATTACCGGTGTGTTACAAGAGCATGTCTGTAACAGTGATGCAGCAGAGAGTTGGTAACAATGTGTGAAGAATTCTGACAAGTTGTGGAACACTATCATATGATACCAGATAATTTTCTGACGAGAAACCATACAACGTGCGTGATAACATTCAACAACAAGGCTGGTCCAGAATGGCTCATACCAACCTTCCACTATAAAACTCAGCACTGGCTCTTCTAAAAGATGCATTGCAATCGCACGCTGTTCACATTCTATGTTAGCATCTTCACACAGTCCCCATAAGAGGATGATATCTCAAAATACCAATTTAAGACGTTATAAGCGAGATTGCAGCAATCAGTGCGGTATAACAAATTGCCATAATACATAATGTTTCATCCTAACTCCCACAGCTCTACTTTATTTGTTCCTGTAAACTGTCACATTCTATTTGGCAGAGATTCTAGATACATTCAAGTCTTCCATTCAATTCTTTGTTGCAACCTGTCCCCAGTTTTCTCAAATGTGATATGTTCTCAATATGTAGCCTCAATGCTTTGATCGTTTGCACCTTAGAGAGTTTATCTGAAATTCATGATTGTAACTGCACACATGCCGAGGCTATAATAGGCCACAGGATGTTAGAAAGCATCCAGAAAGACTATGTACAAGTTTTTCTTACATTATTTGGGCAGATATTATGCATGGACACTTATTCCCTAACCATTAACAACAACACAAACCCCCTCCCATCTAAATCAAGAGTCAAATTTTGGGGTTTTATGTGCCAAACAATTGTAGGGCATTTGGCACACCCCAGCGGAGGACTGAGGAATAATTTGGACCACCTGGGGATCTTTTGACGTGCAACCGAAAGGCTCGGTTGCACGCTCAATGCAGAGGCTTATTGCGCCTTCTCCGCAATAAGCCTCCGTCAGATTGCGGGGCAGCCTAGCCGGGATTCAAACCCGCCACCTGGGAAACAGAGTGAATAAATTAATAATTTAATGGCTCGTAACAATACATAGCAACAAGGTGAAAGAAACTTATGTGACACTGCTTTGTGAGAATGCTATGTTGACTGGACGCACTCCAAAATATCAGGATTTCATTTAGTATAGTTTTACGTAAAAGAGAATATATAAAGTGTTTCAAATATATTTTATAGAAGCTTTTCCGAACATACCTCTCGAAGGGTCGACGGACGAGGTCACAAAATACTGCCCGTCACCACGCCATGACACCCGTGGTTGCCGATCGTCCCACGAAGACACCGGATCCGGGGGCTGCAGTCGTGTTCAATGGATGCCAAGGTTAATTAGTACCGATTCAAATGCTTCAATTTGCATCTTAAAATTACTGTCACTGCCAGAGAAAGTTTTTAAGTGGCCTGACGCTACCTTCACTTCCACCTTGGCAGCCTGTTTGCCTTCAGAACCATGAAACTGAGTCTCCTTTGAGCCCCAGCCCGCCGTGATCGGGCTGCCTGCACAAAGCAAGCAACATAGTGTCATCCAATCATGGACCTCTAAACAATGGAGAGAACGCGAGGCGACACCGCTTACATTCTCCGAATTCGTCCGGGTGGAGGCTTTTCTCGGACACTGGGTCGAAGTCTTTTGTCATCAGCAACACTTTTTCCTCCCCTGTAACGAGAACCAAAAAAAAACAACTAAGCTAGTGACTAAATGCCACAAAATTTGGGTGCGTGTATCAAGCACATAGCCAGGGGGGGGCCCATGGGGCCCCCCCCCCCCGAAATCTTCAATTTTGCTAGGACCTCCTCTCCCCCCTCATACAGCATTTTGTCATGGGCGAACCCCCCCCCCCCCCCCCCCCCCCCGAAACAAAATCCTGGCTATGTGCCTGGCGTGTATGTTTATATAGCATAAAACTTAGTCTGCCTCAACAGGTGACTTGTCTCCCAGCTGTAGATGAGAAATTTAGCCGGTGCAGTACAACCACTAGCCTGGGGTCTTTAACGTGCACCACGCAGTAGTGATACACGACCGTACGCCGGTACAATGCTCATCCAGATCGAAACAGATAGGAGTGGGGACTGAACCAAGAATCTTTGGGTCCTGCAGCGCAAGCTTTCGCTTCACGTGCTACGAGCTGGTGTGCACTAGCCCACTTGACCATCAATCCCCCCCCCAATTAAATGAATTTTCACCATTCTACGTTGCTTTGTGGTTATATGTGACGTGCAACAACTGAATGTCCACAATATGACTAGAGGTAGAGTGAGTCTGAGCTCTTGAAAAAAACTCGCACAGTCTAAACTCTTGGCTGCTTTAGTTTACATGGACTGTCAAGCTGGGGAGTGACGTGCAGCAGAAAACGCGTCTGCCACATACCCCATCGCTGCTGTGACGCCGCCAGGGTCACGTCCGGCGACAGCGTGACACTTTTGTGACGTCATCGGGCGGAAATCAAGGGACCACTCTTTGGGGCGTGGTAATCACACCAGTCAGAAATCTGTTCCAGGCACCATAGCCATATCTAATCCAATTGCACAGGGTTGGGTTTATATAGCTTTATACGTAATCACTACTCTCGGGCAAAAAATGTTATATGTTAACAGACGTGCTTAAGCGATATCTGGTAAGACAGAAATGCCAAGGTAAAACAGAAAAAAAGAAAAGGAGTTTAAACATTGCAAAGCAGATAATTTATTTTCTTCCAACAAAACCAGCTGGCCCGCAATCCCAATTTGCGATTGTTTGTGGCAAAAGAAAACAATGGATGACTACGGTAGGCTTAGTGAGTTTCTTGCTGTAATCAAGTGATGCTATGGCATAGTTACTTGAAACTGTGCGGCTTGGGACACTCAATAAATGTACGCTGCAGTCCCTGGAGATTGACTATTCTTTTTTGTTTTCGGACACACCCAATACATTATGCGGTCGTCAATGACAAAAAGGCTATACACTGAAAATGTCTTGACCTGTCTTCACTTTTTTTCTATTGCTTTTTTATTATCCCTATCACTGATAATGTGTTGTGACAGTAGAAAGATGTTTAGTGAGTTGGTTACTGCATTCAGTGATGCTATAACATAATTGTTGGAAACTATTCAACCTAAAAAAAGCCAACACACCCATTTTCTTTTTTTAGTCTCCCCACATACCTGACACGACAACAACGAGCTCGTAATCGGGGCTCCACTGCATGGCCAAAATGCCACCCGAGACATTTCCGACCACTTCTGCCTGAAATAAGAGAGAGAGCTTCAGAATCACCTACAAACGTTCATGTAATCGGTGCCAGTAAATGATGTTAAGAGAGAATACCACAAAAACAATAAAGCATGCCGACTTGACACAGGGAAAACAAATTCGATAGACGTTTTACCTCCCAAGCGAAAGGCATCGTCAGTACCATATTTTCTGAAGGGGCAAATTTCAGTTTAAGAAATAAAGTTCTTCCTTTGTTAGTGTGCACTTGTGCTAGTCCATACAAGGGACACAGTCCCCACCTGGTGCCTAGTTCGCACATGAAATATTATCATACACAGCATACCTTGACAAATGCCTGATTTATTAGCCCATAAAGAAGCTTGCATCAAACTTAAAGTGTAATTAGTGCACTGCATATTTGTGGAATATCCGCAATCAACTGGCATATGCAGATAAAATATTTTCAGATTTAGCGGATTGCGGATTGATGCAGATGCTGGGGGCTACGGAAGCGGATACCCGTGGGTTTGGATAGTCGGTGATACTTTGAAGTGCATTAACAAATGTTTTGCGGGAGCAAATTATTCTCTTGGAGAAAAAGTGCCGACCGAGGAGAAATTTGCTCTTTACCATACAAGCCACAAGAAAGTAGAAGCAGCCTCTTTTCCCCCTCCCTAAAACTGATAGAAGGTGCTTCCATTATTGGATGTTGTGATATTTTCCCAGTGGTGTGCTTGCGTCTCACCAGCTATATACCAGTACTTCGCTGAGGTGAATGACTGCCTTTCCTCTCCCACTTTTCTACTGTTTGACATAAATAAAATTATGCAATGTTATTAGTTCGTCTTTTGTTAGTTTTTTAATGTTTAGAAAACGCATCTGCTTAAAATATATGTTATAAAGTAAAATAAAAAAAAAAAGACTTCTTTTTTAGTGCCTTTTTGGACAGTGTCACAGACACCCAGAGCAATCTCATGATTGCGATCACCTCTCCTGTGATCCGAAGTGTCTCTGGAAGGATGATCGCATAATATAGGATAAGTACAATAAATATAATAGATGACCATTGTAACGGAGTGCGGTCGTGTAGCACTACTGCGTGGTGCATGTTAAAGACCCCAAGCTAGCAGTTGTACTGCACTGGCTAAATTTCTAATTTACAGCTGAGACACCAGACGCCCACTGAGACTGACTAACTTCCTGATGCACAAACACACACACAACACAATTATTGTAAAATAAAAGGCAATAAAATTACTTTCACCGTTTTTTGACTTAAAGAGTCTTTTGTGCAAAGATACACAAATGGCTTATACATAGGGTTCCGTGTTTTAGAGTAAATAAAAAAAAAAATCCGAAATACACTCGTTGGTAAACTTTATGTCAATTCGGATTTATTATAAAAACTCAAAATTTCGAGGACACAATGACAAAATAAAAAGCAAAAAAGACGGTGTTTTACAAATACGCTTTCTAAGAGCACAAGGTCAGCAGTCCTGAGGAGATGCAACTTCAGTTTCCTTTGCAAACTCGAACTAATGACAAAAAGGGTTTACCTTTTAGCTCATCAAAGTTCCTTTAGGACAACATGTCACGGCACCCAAATTTTATTTATTTTGTTTTTGTAATTTTTAAAAATTGGGAACACAGTGAAATAAACTGAGAATTTCAAAGAACTGCAAATCTAACAAAAAGAAACTCGATAAACCCTGAATTTTCAGCGAAAAATAAACTCCGAAAAACACCCTCCCGATTTCATGAGAACGAAACTTCAAAAACATAGTATCCTACTCATAAAGTACCATCCAGATGCTTTTTCTTTTCATTCACGTTTGATTTTATAATGCAAAATGAATGCGCGGAACGCGGGTCGCATGTTGCTCCGAATTTTCTGGACGTAGTTCGGATGCAGTTACGAAGTATGTGGATACGGTCCGGATGTGGACGCAATAATTTAAAAACAATGCGGATCCAGCTCGGATGCAGGTACAAGGTCTGCGGATGCAGATGACCAAACTGTTATCAGTGCAGGCCTCTAATCATTATGAAAATACGCTGTCATTACCAAAATCCATCAGTCGAAATTCACAATCTAGAAAAACAAATTCTTGTGTAGTCCGCACATGTAGACAGTCCAAAAATATGAAGGAGTTTGACAAGGAGGACGGACAGGACAGACATCTTTTTCCTGTCCGTCCTCTTTGTCTAACTCTTTCGTATTTTTGAATCTATTACCAATGCGCTCAATCCAAGACGGTCCACACAGCATAAAATTTCAAGTTTTAAACATGTATGGTTCACTGATTATAGTCCAAAAAATATGGTACATACAAAGTAAATGTAAGGGTCTATCCTAACACAGGGCCATCTGTCGCGAATGCCCGTATAAGCTATGGGGAGAGGGCTACGATTTTTGTTATAAGCTTACGCATCCCTGCGGACAAAGCAGGATTGTAGCAGCCTTTCGTGGTCACCACCTCTCCTCTTTCGCCAGCCAATGTTGCCACGGCATTGAAGTCGAAGGGGCGAGAGGTGGACAACGAAAGCTGTTGAAATCCTGGTTCATATGCAAGGATGTGTCAGTTTGTAACAAAAGCTGTGCCCTCTCCCCAAAACTTATACGGACATTCCTGATAGATAGCCATGTGCTAAAACAAAACCCTTACAATTGTTTTGAGCATTGTGAAGCCTGGAGGCTATAAATGCCTAGTCAATTTGTTGCCTTGTTGGGTCAAGTCAGGATATTTGTCTTCATTATGATGCCTCCCAACTTCTAAAATATTTTTATTATTTAGAATTATTTGGAGTATGAAGAAGCGACAAACCATTATGCTCAGAGGTTCGAGAACGGGCAACTCACTTTTTCTGAGGCAACATCGAAAAGCAGGATATCTCCAGCCTTTGTTGCAATGCACAACGACTGGAACTCGGAGATGAATGCAAAACCCAGCACTCCGTCATTCTCGGGGTCAAGCTCGTCAATGACATGCTGCCTGGCCTGGAGATGTAGAAAAGAAATGGGGTCCTTCTTTTCCTTACCTGAAGTTTAGGGCAGATATTAACACAAAATCTTTTTAATCTTATTTTTATTTTAATTATTATGGAAGTGTATGAAGCAAGTCTTTATGTGACATATTCATTTTACGAACATATTTACAGCCTAACTTTAAGTCCTATTCACCGGTTGAACTTCCTTGCTTGTATAACTTAAAAACACAGGTAATTACTATCACATTTTCCAAATGAGAAAGCTTAATTCGAAGTAAATTCACTAAATGAACACTTGCAAGATCTCCATCGCTAAATTCAAGCAACTTCACGAAGGAACACCCCTTGGTCAGTTGCCATTGATGTCCGATACAATATATGTCCTATGCAAACATGCAGTTATTAACTGATTACACTGATCACTTACGTCCAATGTGCCGTTTAGATGTATGATGCGGTTTCCAGTCACAACATACCCGTCACCTGTCTCCGCGTCAGAACAGAACTGACTCCTGTATTTAATATCGGGTATGCTCGAGGTCTCTAGGTTCTTCACTTCCAGGTTCCTCATAATGTCGAGACAGGTCGGAAGTCAGCGCTTTGAGATTGTCGTGTAAACTTTCTCACATGCTCACATCAACGGATAGCGCCGATCACACGCTTGCAACGACACGCGCATGAGGACGACTAGAGCACTATATAGCTCCTACGGAGCAGAGTAGCGCAATCCTTTGAACCTCGTGTTTTGCCGACAAGATGGCCGACAGAGCGGCTCGGCGCGAGTCACGTGGTACTCAGGGTTCCAAGAGGCGGCCCGCCCTATGGGAGAATACATGGAGATCGATACAACACGGCTGATTAAAAAATGAACGGCGAGTTCACACTTTTCAAAACTAGTCTGTCATGAAGTTAGTAAAGCACTAAACACTTTGTCAAAGCTTTAATAATATCGGATGCGTGTGCAAATTTTGAGAAGGCAATTTCCAAGGCAATGGCGTTTGAAGCAGACGATTTTTGCTCGCAGCGGAGATGGGCTTTTCGGGTTGGCCGGAGCGGGTCACGTGAATGGTGTGACGTCGCCGTGTCGTCTGCTGCATGATGCCGCTCAAGCAATTTTTTAAAAAAAGTCAGGTTCTTGCGGGTCACAAAACTTAGCGCAAATTATTCTAAAATGTTCCATTATTATGTCAAAAATGATTGCCATTCCGTATATTCCCACAATACTGAAGAAACAACGATTTTCTCACGTTCTCCATGCATTTCTGACCGCAGTTGGAACCTCCGGGCGTTCGCCGCTAGTCGCCGAGAGGCGGCGTTCTAGATTGCGCTACTCTGCTCCGAAGGAGCTATATAGTGCTCTAAGGACGACTACTCGGCTGGCTTGGCTATGGATTGGATTCTAACTCGTGATGGGACGAATCTTTATCCGAATCGAGATTCGGGTATTCGGAGCCAACGTTACTTTTGTTCGGAGCCAAGGAGGATAATCCTTGGCTAACCTGCTTGTTCGGAGCCGAATCTGAAGATTCGGAAAGATTCGGAAAAGTAGCCGAATCGAATCGGAAAGATTCGGAGCGTTGCCATGGTTGCCAGATCACGTTGATGAGTGTTTAAACTTTTCGTGATATTAAATTCACTAAATACTACGAAATGCACAAAATAAAATTGTAATATAATATCATTGTAATGAATAAAAGTTCCACCTTGTTTATATCATTTTGGATGTTTGTCGAGAACGGCAGCCATACATCGCGAGAAAATTGGTTTCGGTTCCGGACATAGGTTCCGGACTACGACCAAAATAGGCATGCTTGGTGCACGTGAAAATACAAGCGCATATTTTCATCGCCACAAGAGATTGATGCCGTACGTGCTGTTCGGTACAGACACATTTCGTGCCCATAATTACGGTCATAGTGGCACACACCACACAAGTATGTTCGATTCGATTCGATTATCTTCAACGTGTGTCCACTGAGGTATTGTTTAGGGATGTCGCGAACCAGCCTAGGTTCGAGATCGAAAGGTTTCGATACTTTCGAAGCGAACTGAGGTTCGAATTCGAAAAATTTCGATATTGTCGTACCGACAAAGGTTCGAATTCGAAAAATTCGCAACTTTCGATCACAGTGGAGTTTCGAATTCGAAAAGTTCGAAGCTTTCACGGTTTCTAAAATTTCGGATTCGATTATTTCGAATATTTTTTTACTTTAGGTTCGATAAATTCGAAGTTTTCGACCTTTCCGAACTTCAAAATTCGAGATATTCGAAAATATCAAATTTCCTCAGATCTGAAATTCGAAAAATTCGAAGATTTCGAAATTCTTTGGTTATAAAATTCGAAAATTTCGAACGCTTCGAATTTGTATAAACATAATGGTCGAAAAATTCGAATATTTCGTACTTCTTTCTACATAAAGTTCGAAAAGTTCGAAGGTTTCGATTCTCTTTTAACGCTAAATTTAAAAAAAAAAATTCGAAGGTTTTGAATTTCGTTTAGGTCCAAGTTTTTAAAGTTTGAAGTCCGGTTTTCATGTTCCTCCACAGTTTCAGCTTCAAATAATGTTTTCACAACTCACTGTTTTTCACAAAATCAGGTTTAGAAAAGATAGGGTGGGATATTTAGACTCCGCGAAGTTGGGTCAGGCAATTAAATGAGACGACGAGTGTCCCGGATGTGGTGGAATATTTGCTAGTGCAGATGCAGAGTGACGTGTGACCATAGATCAGTACCCCGGGGTTGGGGGGGAGGGGGGAAGGTCTTTAGCGTGTATCACACAGTAGTGATCACACAAACGCACTGTTTTACGATCCTCATCCAGTTCGAAGCGTCCAGGGGCGGGCAGGAGGTTGAAGCTCAGAAAAACTTTAAAGGGATACTACAACGAAATTTCGGCGCTCATTTTTTGGTCTATATCTGTTCAAAAGAGCAGTATCACATGGAACATACCAATATCTTGTTAAAAAAGTCTCGAAAAGGAATTTTAAAACGAATTGAACGATTAGCAAAGAGCACCTGGTGGATGTCGCTAACGCCTCGTTTGTAATGCTCGTCTAGGAACCTTGACAGCTAGTGACGGAGGTTGTCTCGTCTCCGGCCACGACGAGAGAAGGGGGGAAGGAGGAACTCCCCTTTTTCCGAGAATCCCTTTTGTGTGTCGCAGAAGTCGCTATTGTCCCCCTAGAAGATTATAGAAGATTAACCCGTCACTCAAAATTCGTACAAAAGCAGCCGCTTCGGTGGCTGGAACGACTAGGCCATCCTCTCGACGTCTGCCTCGCCGTAGCTTTGCTCGTCTTGAGACGACCTACGTCACGATTGCGCTGGATGTCACGTGCTCTAAGCTGGGCCTTCTCCGAGCGCTTGCCAGAGTGGGCCGTTTATAACGAAAAATACAGCCACCAGGATCAAAATACAAACGCGCGATTGTCATTTATGGATATTGTGGATCATATTCAACCTATTTTTGAACACGACGGGAATATTTCAAATTTCGTTGAAGTATCCCTTTAAAGCGACCTGGCAAACTACCTCCCCACCCGTTGCACGCTGGTAGTAATCCGATCGAACACCGCCCGAGTGACGCTGACATATAGTAAATTAAGTTCGTAATTGTCCTGGAGGTTTATTTTCCGGGACGGAGGAAACGCCTCGCAAAAAAGCACAGAAGCCGACACAACTCGAGGTCGAGGAGCGTTCTATTATACGATAGGCGACGGAAGAAGAAAAACGGGAGGAGGGGGGGGGGGGGGGGGGGGGGGGCGGGGGCTGCAGCCCCCCCTTCCCCCTTCCAGATATTTCGGACTGTTAAAGAAAACAATACGGGGAAAGAGGGCACGGTAGAGCTTATTTTAATCTGAAATTATTTATGCATATGTATACAGGGGCGGATCCAGACCTCCATTTTAGGGGGGGGGGGGGGGGGGGGGGGCGGTTCCTCGGTGTAAAACGGCAGGGGGGGGGGGGGAGGAGTGTTTACATTTTTTGTGGAGTTGTCGTTTTTACTAAACTCTGATAACATAATATTGATCTTGAGAGCTTTTGTATCAGTTTACCTGTCGTGGATGAACTCTTTGAATTAAAACCTTTCGGATGACCACGCTAGAGGTCAGTATCTAGAACAGTAGTTCTCAAATGGGGGTCCGCGAAACTACTTCTGGGGTCCGCAAGACCCTCAACAAAAAAAATTTGTTCTTTTTTAGTTGGCACGTTTTGATCAACTGACCGAAATGAAGTGATGTGGCACCTTTGGTTTATGTTTTTCTGCTACGTAGCAATAAAAGGCACCTGTTTCATGCTCCAGATGTGTTAACTTACTAACGTCCTCACCCCCTCCCCCCCCCCCCCTCACTGCCAGCGGTCCGTAAGGGGTCCCCGACACATCCATGGCTAAGAACCACTGATCTAGAAAATTGTGGTGGCACTATCCTTTCTGAAACTTGGGTTTCAGACCGACACTACGTGAGCAGTCGATTTAGGGTAGCTTAAAGACATTGCCTTGGCAAACATTCTGGTTGGAGCTAGTGCTCAACCGCTGCGGCAACGGGAAGAGCGGCTTAAATCAATGGAGCAAGTACGTTGCAAACAAGCGACAAAAATGGCCCGGCGGCTTCGATGCTGCTCGCGGCGTCAAAACACTGTTGACGCAGCGAGCGAAACGAACGCTGCCAGGCAAGTTCGTCGGTTGTTCGCCGTATATTTAGAATGTCCAGAGCGCAGCACATGCGGCATTGCCAACCCAAACTCGTGTTTTCACGTGTTCTGGATGCAACTCGAGAGAACGAAAGCGAATAATTGTTGAATATTTTTGAAAGCATGTTGCAGTTCAGCAACTATAACTTTTAAACTTAGACAAGACCTTAAACCAGCAATGGATCCTTCCAAATTATATTCAATTGCACTTCGTCTGGATATTTTCCGTATGAAAGGAACACTTGTTTCTGGGTAGTTAGCTCATTCGTCAGGGTCGAGAGGACAGGTGCAGAGATATGATGGGGCAGAACGGTTGTCCGGTCGGCGAATCTCAACTGGACTAAAGGCCGATCACGACTGCAGCATGAATGTTTGGGAGTCGGTGTTCACTCGAACGGGCACAGGCACTGTCTATTTAATTTATGTATAGTCGCATCTTTGAAAGGGTTCGTTTGCCCCAAGTCCCTACCCAGGCAGCACCGAGTTATGGGCCAAAACTTGGCTTGCGTCTGGCAGTTTAGGGCATTAAAAAGCCCGAAGAAGCCAAAGTACTGCCAAACCTGACCTCCCTTGGCAACAGTCTGGGTATCTTGGCCCTAATTCGCCAAACAAGTGCCAAACTTAGGCTTCGCTCCCGGGTAGTTCGGTTATTATTTGGCATCTTCGGGCCTAAATCGCCTAACAAATGCCAAATTTAGGGTTACTGCCCGTTAGTTCGGCAGATCTTTGGCATTTTTGGGCCAAAATCGCCAAACTAATGCCAAAGTTAGGCTTCACTTTTTGATAGTTCGGCTATCACCTGGCACATTCGGGCCAAAATCGCCACAGATGTGCCAGAGTTAGGCTTACTACCTTGTAGTTCGGCAGTGCTTTGGCATTTTTGGGCCAAAATCGCCAAA